CCGAAGCGGCGTGGCCGTCTCCTCGCAGCAGCCATCAACAGTGATCTCATCGAGCAACAATGCGACCTGGATGCAGAGTCCCACCGGGCAGATGCAGCTGATACGTGCCATCCATCAGCCAAGGCAGAGGATCATTACCACCTCGGCGGGTGTGAGCAGTGCCAGTGTGGTGACTACGGGCGTCCAAGCGCCAACTGGTAAGCGAAAGAAAAGTCTCCCGTCGAAGCTCCCCGCTATAATTGTTACTCCAATCTTTTGTAGCTCTTTCCGTCACAGCTGCACAGCCTCTGGGGCAGCAGCAGCAGGGCGCGGGTGGTCCTCAGGCGTATGTGGCCACTGTGCTGCCGCCGCGACAGCATCAGGCCACGCTAGTCTACTCCTCGAATGTGTCAGCGGGTGGACCCAATGCCAATGCCCAACAGGGCCAGCAGTTCAATCCACGCTTCGCTGTGACAACACCCACGGCAGGAGGCGTCGTTACGACCACAACGCCAGGCGGCACCACAGTGACACCCCGCCAGGTGCGACCCATACCGCTGGGCAAGAGTTTTCCGGCCACCAAGCTGAACACGACGAGCATCAGCATACGTGCGCCGAGCATTCCGCAGCTAAATGCCAGCGTGTCAGGCTCACAGACGCCCGTGAGCGTGTCGGGGGGAGCGACAGTGGGTCCAGGACGTGGTCCGGGGCTAGGAGGAACGGCCCTAACAGCCACCAATTTGCCCACGCGCATCATACAGCTGCAGCAGCAAGGACCAGGCGCTGCACAGCAAATAATCGGAGCGGGCGCTCGCCTCGCGGGCAATGTGATGCTGCAGCCCTTCCTCATGAGCACCTCAGCAGCGGCCAAGATGGGTAAGATTGAAGCTGCACAAGCACATGGGAATCTCATACTGATACCAAATCCCTTCCAGGCATACGCCCGCCCGTCACTATGACGGCAAAGGTGCAGCCATCGCTGACGATCACACAACTGAATCCAATTGGCAAACTCTCAACGCCTGGCGGAGGCGGTGGAGCACCCAACATGACGCCACAGGGCGTGGGCGTGGCCAGCATACAGGCAGTGCCCGTGCCGAACGTCTCCGGCAGCGTGGTTAATCCGAACTCCGTCAGCGGACAAGCCACAGCAGCGGCAGGTGGGGCCACAGTTTTGCCGCTTACAATCAGTGGAAGAGGCGGAGGCCATGCCCTCACGGGCACCTTAACGCCCATCAAGAATGCCAGCGGCATAACCGTGGGCAAGATGATGATGACGCCAGCCGTGACAGCGGGTGGAGCGATGGGTGCGGATCAGAGTGGAACCACAGTAACGGGTTTCCCGCGTGCCTGGAACCCAGTTGTGGCCTCACAGAGTCAACTGATGAAGGTGAGTGATTGCACGAAGGGTTGATCCTGTTTCTAAACGAGAGTTTTGCTCTACAGATTGATGACAAAGGCAGCTCTGCGACCATTTACTACGAATCGATGCCGGCTTCAGCCTCCACGGGCGTCCTCTCGCTGACCACAACGACCCTCACGCAGAGCACTCAATCGCAGGCGCAGCTGGTGAGCAGTGCAGGCGGCAGCTTGTCTGTATCATCATTGCCATTTCCCAGCCATGCGCCAATGGGTGTGGGTGCAGCGGGTCCTGGCTCGCAGGCAACATTCACGGTGTTGCCATCGGGCGCCACAGTGGGAGGAGCAGCAGCCGGGCAACCACGCGGCACCATTGGCCATCAGCAGCTGATTATACCAGCGGGTGGGAACAGCGCTCCACCCCAACATATGGTCATACCGCTGCACACGTCCGTGAAGGTGACCACGGGCGGTGTGAGCAGCCAACCGGCAACGATCAGCGGACCTGGCGGCGCAGGCAGCACACTCGTGTCCAGTTTTATGGGCAAACGTGTGGCCGAAGGATCGCCCATTAGGGCAGCCAAGAATCTGGGACCGACGCTGCTCTCCATGGCCAGCAATACCAGCGGACCGAGTCTCGTCTCTGCCGCTGGCTCCACATTCAATTTGCAACCTGTGTCCGTGTCTGTGGCTTCGTCTGTGGCCGTGACCAGCACTGCGCTGACTGTGGAGGCGCTGGCCAAGAAGGAACGAGAACGTGCGACAACAGCGGTTGTGGCAGCAGCGACAGCGGTGAGAAATTTACGCGCCGATTCGCCTGCCTCCTCGGATGGCTCCACCACAGTGTCGGCGAACTCCTCGCCCGGTGTGGATCAGCAGCAGCTGCAGGATCGCATAGGGGAGCCCCAGGCAGCGTCTGCACCCAGCAGTCGCGATAATTCCACGCATTTTAATCCCATCAATGAGGTGAGAGTTAGATAAGTTGATGCTGAATATGGAAACTAAACGGTGGAGGTTTCTTTTTGCAGTTGTACTCGTCGCATCAGTCCATGCAGCAGCAGCAGCAGCAGAGCCTCTCCCATGCCTCGCTGGGTGGTGCCCGTTCTAGTGCCTTTGTGGATGTGCAGGCACCCACACCACAGCAGCAGCAGCAGCAGCTGTCACAGCAGTCAAGTCTCTTGGGGCAACTCCAGCAACAGCAGCAACAGGCGGCAGCAGCTGCACGCATGAATGGCACAGGCAGCAGCTCCAGTTCCAGCTACGATTGCTCCGTCAGAAAGAAGCCAAGACGCTCCACGTAAGCTTTACTCTGTGTGGAACTGTATTGCCATCTAAACTGAATCCCAATCCTCTTCCAGCAATGACAGTCAACACTCTACGCAAAGTCAGGCATCGCTATCGCTGCCGCCACCAACTGCAGAGCCAACGGCAGCAGCCACAGCCGCTGCCTACATGCAAAAGCACAATAATGGTGGACTGCTGGTGGCGGCCGCTGCAGGACCCAGCAGCAGCAGCACTTCGGCGGACATCAATCATCGCAGCAGTGCGCCTGCCGTGGCGGGTAACAAGGAGAATGCCAATCCCGTGGACTTTGTGCTGCGACGTCCGCGCAATTGTTCGCTGCTAAATGTGAGGAAGAAACCTTAGAGCTGCCCTTAAGGACATTAATAAATGTTTTATTCCATTTACAGACATACAAACCCACACATAAGCTGGCCAACAATCATTTCCATCGCTATACGGATGTTAAGCCGCGGGAGGAGCGTGGCGCTTCGATCATTGATTTGGCCAATCAGCCGAATGTACAGGGAAAAATCGCAGGCTGGAAGCTGTATCATTTGCGCTCACAAATGGAGGACTTGGTGGGATACAAGGAGCCATATTTTGTTGTTAAAATGATTATTAATTTTTTTTTGTACTTGCAGAACGAATCGGAGACGTTTAGCTTGTCCAAGCTGGAGTCCATGCTGAAGGACATTGAAAAGAACAAGGAAAAGTTCAGCGAAATGGAGCGAGTCAGTGAGCTGCTAAAGGTAGGTCGAAGGAAGATCTACCCAAGACCTTACCTAACTCTTTTAATGATATTTCAGGGCAACATTCAACGCTGCAAGATCATCACCGAGGGCATCAACGAGTCACAGAATCAGATAATGAAAATCTTTGAGCATAAACCACACGTCTCGGACATCATAAATCGTTGCGCATCGAAGAGGAACTTCAAGAAGCGCGATAAAATCTAATAGTTAAACCATTTGTAAATGGCAAACTTGGGGATCCGTTGCTATATTTAGTTGTACATTTTTTAACTTAGGAATATATTTAAACGAAACACTTTGTAAGACAAGAAACTTACAAAAAAGGGAGCTTCAAATATTTTGTAAATTTCTTAAGCACAAAGAAAGGAAAAATTACATAAAAAAGATTTATTGAAATTTCTTTTGTACGTTTTACATGGGTGGTGGCGGTGGCACACCATTGAACATGGGATGCATGGTCGGACGTGGTGGTCCTGGTATGGGAAAGCCCGCGGGCGGACCCATCGCTCGATGCATATTGGGCGGCGGTGGTGGCAAAATCTTTGGCTCAAATTTGAAGGCAAACTGCAGGAAGAACTGTTTGGTGTCGCGATTCCAGTGCGTCCAGAACTTGCCCTCGCTCTTCTCCACCTCGCGTGACGGCACCTTGAAGCCAATTGTCTCGTAGGGCTCGGCGGCAAACAACAAATACTGCCACTTGCGGTCTGGTGGCTCAATCTTTTGCTCGTAGGCGGACATGAAGCGGTGGCGCGGCACAATGGCCTCGGTAATCTCGGGATAGTCGATCTGGAAGAGCAGCGACTGCTGGCCATTGCTCGGCTCACGCTGCTTGGTCACCCGATAGCCGGGGCGTCCGATTTTCACAAACTTTTTGGGCTCCACGCGCGGCTTTTCCGGTGCCAGCAGCGAGGAGGGCGCCTCCTTGGCCTCCTTGGCGGCACGACGTGCCAGATTCTCCTGATGCTTCTTGCCCTGCGTGTGGGCCAGGTAGCTGCCCTCGTTGTTGTGCAGCGTCAGGCACAGTTTGCACTCGTACGAGCCCAGGTGGTTCTTCATGAAGTAGGGATCCTTGTTCAGGTCGATGGTCTCGAGGGCCAGCTGCCGCAGGCGCTCCTTGCGGTCGCGGTTTGTCTCCGACCAGGAGGCAACGCCGCCGCTGCCGGTTTTACCACCGGCACGATTTTGAAAGTCCATATTTTAAGTTATTTTAACACGAAAACCGGGGAAAAAACGCTTTTTCAGTCACGGAAAATTCTTGTTGTTGGCAGTGTGACCGCGGAATTATCTATAAAATATACCGAAATATACCCTTTTATTTTCCAGATGCACTGTGAATATACCGTAAGTCTTAAATAATATTCCACTACTTTGATTTTCTGTTTAATATTACCGGCTAGTTAGGACTCTCAGAATTGAAACTGTTATTTTACTCGAATCATCATTTAATTCGTTACAAGATTGCCTAATTTTCATAATTTAACTTTATTAAATTGATTCCAGTGTTGTGCAACAGTGCACAGCTCGTGAGTTATCCATAGTGGAAAGCGTAATATCAAAATGGTATATTTTAAAAATGGAAAAGTATGTTTCTGAGGGTCGGGCGGTATCAATAATCGATAAGTCCACGGTCATACAGTTGCACATGCATGGTTTTTGGTTCTTTTATTCATTTCAAATGTTGAATAATTTCGAAAACCCGTGAGAAATATTTGAATTAAAAGCGTTGTCGTGAAGACGGTGCACCAAAAGCCAATACCCTTTTGGCCAAGTTCAAGTTTCGAATGCGCTAAAACGCCCACAGACCCTATCCAACGATAGGCGTGCACATTCCGCTGGGCTGGTGATAGAATTCTGTGTTGTTGCGAAAATTAAGCCTAAACCAGACAATTGCATAGTGTATAGCAGTGTGTCGTGAGTGTTCTTTTTAAAATGAATGATCCGGGATTGGGTCCAGCGACGAACATGGCCGATTCTAACCATGCGAGTGGCAGCAACAAATTCACGCCGCTGCTGACGCCACCGTCGCAGTCGCCAGTCGTAGTCGGAAGTGCAGCTCCGCCCAAGCGTATAATCAACAGAATACCATTGGATTTCAACAAACTTAAGCAGGCTGGCTTGGACATAAAGCTAGCGGAAGCATTGCGAAAGCAAAGCTCAACTGCAATGCCCGCAGCGACCTCTCTTCCAGCTCCTGCTGCCGCTGCTGCAACAACAACTGCGCAGTCGGCGGCAATGACTAGTGCCACCGCCACAGCCTCAATTGAACAAAAGCCAAAATCAGGTAAAAGAAAATTCCCCGCGAACAGACATTCTTGAAAATCCGTTAGCCGCATCAAATGATTTTGAAAATTGCTATGAAAAATGATCAACTATCTCGGTTTGGGACGCACGGCAAAATTCGCTATCCGTGGCGCTGGTGCTTGAGGTGACGCCTCACAATGCGGGAAGCTGATACTATCTCAAGAGTGTGAGAGTTCGAGAAGGATCAGGGTTTAATAGTTGTTCCTCTCTTTTTTGTAACTTTCTCTTCTTTTTACATAGAAGGAACTGTAATCTTAAATATATAAAATATTATTAAAATAAAACTGCATAATAAAATTATATAGTTAAATATAAAATAATGTTTTTAGATTTTTAGAACATGTTCCAAGGGATACAATATGTTCAACAGAAACTTTTGGAACTATTTGATTTTATACCTTTTAGGTTATAAATGTCCATACAGAAAAATATCTATATAATTTGAGATAGAAATGCAATATAATATAAAATAAATAATTAAAATGAAATAACTCATTTATTGCTAAACTTCTAGGTTAAATTACATATTTTTTTTAAATCCCCTCTTTTAAAACTCCCCTCAAGTGACTCTTTGGTTGCCCTTATTTACAGTCTTTCGATGGCGTAGACGGTAAAAGTGCTGCGCAATTGAGGTTAGGGTCTAGGACACAATCGCACGCGGGAGAGGGCTTGCTTTTTGGCCTGGGTTCAAGACCCAGCATGGGTTGTCTGTGTGTGTGTAGAAAGAGTACGATACGAAGTGGGTGGAAAAAAAGAAGAGAGCTTTTACTGCAATTATGTGACAGGTTTTGTTATTGTAAATGCACATCTTCCGCTCTCTCGCTGCGCTCTCGCCTAGTCTGATGCATGATGAAATTAGTTCGCATGTTGTGTAATTTCATCTTGGTCTTCTTGGGGAGGTGTTTACAGTGTAAAGATTCTGCAAGATCTTCCCATGCACTGTGCGCTAATAAGACTTTAATTAATTACTGTTTCTTAGAGTTTAATTTTAAAGGACAATTATTAATATCGGTTAAATTATAATTTCTTTTTAAAACACATTCAATGGATAATGCTGTCAACTGACACTCTGGTCAGGTTTATCTAGATGTTATCAATGGCACAGCCTGTTAGCGTGCACTGTAAATGAGGTTTGGGACATGTGCAGCAACGTCTGAGCCAGAGCCACAACGGATGAGCCTTTAATTATTTTTGGCTCAGGTTCAAAACCCAGCGTGGATGATGTTCCGGTATTTTTTTTGATTTATCAACTTTAATGACTATATTTGATCTTATTTATTAACAGCTCCACCGTCCAGAAGAAACCGATCCACCATCTCGAAGTACATTGAAAAATTGATACCCGAAGAAATTGTGGCCGAACGGTCGCAGCATTTAAAGACTCTGATCAAGAATCGGATACTGAACAAGGGCAGGATTACGTCTACGCTAAACACTCCGAAGTCATCCCCAGCCACATTGACCACAACGGCATCACCATCCTCCTCAACATCCCCGCCAAGTCTCTTCATGTCGCCCATAGCCAAGGCGGATGTGACTGTGCGATCGAAGCAGCCGCCGTTGCTGCTGAATCTGGTGAATCAGTTGCCCAAGAACCGAGCCTTGTGCGGACCCAGCATGCAGCAGTTGTGCAGGCAGCAGCAACAGGAGCAGCCTGTGCCACAGCCCCAGCCAGTGCCAGTGGTGCCACTGATCCACAAGGCTCCATCGCCGCCGTTGATTGTGTTGGAGAACAAGGTCCTGGCGCCAGAGGAGAAGATCGATTTGAGTGATCTACGTCTGCCCAACTCTTCTACGATGCCACAGACCTCCAGGTCTCAGGGGAAGCCAGTGCCTGTGATGGCACGACAGGTGCAGACTTATCCCGGTCCCAACTCCTCCAAGACCAAGGTGATTCTGAATGCCAACAAACTGAAGGTGTCGCGGGAGAAGCTAGCCGAGATGGCCAAACAGATCCACAGCCAGGTAAAGCAGGTGGAAAAGAAGCCAGCTCCTGCCACAGTTTCCCCACTCAAAATCACAGAAGACATTAGTCCCGTTCGTGTCAGTTTCTCGCCATCCCCGTCCACATCTCCCTTGTCCTCTCCTTCTCCTGCTCCAAAAGTACTCTCCGCTGTGGACTTTATAGCCCAACTGACCGCTGACAATCCGCTGGATGAGAGCAGCTTCATAGAGCTGTCGCCAGAAGAGCAAATGATGAGCGCGCTCTTTGGCTCAAGAGGAGGCAGCATGCAGCCCACCGTGGAGGAGCCACCAAAGGACATAGAACCCGAAGAAGAGTTGCCAATTGGCAAGATACTGAAGCTGGATGATATGGATATACTCCACGCTACTCTGGATGTGAATGAGGACAGGGAGAGTGTCCTGCGGTTCAGTCCGAATGCGTTAAAGCTGCAGAGTAGCGTGGTGACACGCAGGGACCAACCAGAAGCCAACATGAGGATCATTTTAACGGAGGAACATCAGCTGCAAGAGCTGCTTGAAGAGAAATCAGCTCCGGCAGAAGGGACAGAGGAAACAGCCAGAGAAATGTCTAAAGATGTGCCAGGAATGACGGAGGGAAAAGCCAGTGAAATTTCTGAAAATCAACCAATAATGATAGAGGGAACAGCCAGGGAAATGTCTAAAAATGTGCCAGAAAATACTGAGGGAAATGTCAGTGAAATGTCAAAAAATCCAGCATCAATTACAGAGGAAACAGTCAGGGAAAAGTGCAACGACGAAGCATTAATGTCCGATAAAACAGTCAAAGAAATGTCCAAAGATGAAGAAGAAAGGGCCCAAAAAGCAGTCAAAGAAATTTGGGAGGAAGCCACAGATCCACAGAAGTCGGAAACAGAAGCCAAAAGTGTGCCAAACCCAGCTTCAAATGCAGCCCCCAGCAAGGAAAAGGATAAACCACAGCCAGCCCCGCGGCCAACGAGGTTTAAGAAGGGTAAAGTAAATTTAGTGCAACGCTCGAAACGAGCAAATCCACCTAAAACCAAAGCGGTCAGTCCTGAAAAGGAGCTCAACGATGCGAAAAGGGCAAGACTCGAAGTGGAGCAACCAGAAGAGGAGGAACCGACAATGGATCAGAGTTTCCTTGAGGATAGTTATGGCAGAAGGAGAGAAGTTGAGGTAATTAAACCAGTGGATGAAGGCATAACAGCTAAAGACAAAGTAAACCTTAATTTATCTAGTGTTAAAAATGATCTGCAGGTCCAAGCAGATGCGGGGGATGTGGGGGAGTGTGCAGTAGAAGCAGGAAAAGAAGCAGAAGTCAGAGAAAAAAACAACGAAGAACCCGAAGAGATACTAGTCAGTAGATGTGCTGGATCAGAGGTGCTGAAACCACAAGAGGACACGCCACCAAAACCCTCAACAGAACGTGATTTAAACCAACTCTATCATCCACCAAAAATGCCAAAGAATAAATCAAATAAATCGAACAACAGCAGAGAAGATCAATCAGATGTAGCCACAACGAGCAGCAGCAGCAGCAGCAGCAGCAGCAGCAATGTGTCCCTGCTATTGGATGTCCTCCAGCAGGAGCCACCAGCAGAACAGGGCGAAGCGCTGCTGCCTTTCCGCAAACAGTCTCAGACTGAAACCAAGTCCCCGTCCCAGGATCCAGTTCCCACAGGAATTAACAATTTAATGAGCCATTTGTCAGCGGAAAAGATCGTGCCACAGAGCAAGAGGGTGTCTCCCACGCCCAACCAAGCAGCGCCCCGCAAGAAACTAGTCAAGACACGCCCTGTTCTCAACAAAAGATCCCCACGAATCGGTTCCATTGCAGCTGGCCAACCCATCAGTGTTAGCGGAGCAGGAAGTCGCATTCCCACTTCCAGCACCAGCGATGATGATGCATCCGTGTTCCTGGGCTTTGATAACAAAGAGGAGGAGCAACCTGTCAAAGAGGAAGCGAGTCTCAAGCGAGGCAAGCAAATTAGATGCAACGAAACGGATATCAGTGATGATGCTACGCCGGACTATGACGAAACGGAGGAGGAGAACCAACAGGAGAACCCAAAGAAGTCAAATAATGAAAATCAAACACTTTTAGGAGGAGAAAAAAATGACTTAAGGGGAGCGGAAGCGGAACACGCAGACAGCGAGTCCAATGCTAGTCCCATGCAAATGGAAACACTTTATTCAATGGAAGTGGAAGAAATAAGCGAACAAGTTGCCGAAAAATGCGAAGCTATTGCGGAAATAAGCACAGAACTAGACACAGATCCTCAGTTAGATTCGAAGACTGAAGAGGAACTGTCAACGGCAACAGCGGTGCCGCCATCGAACTCAATTAATGTCAGCGAAAGTCCAGAAATAGCTGCAGTGGAGCCAGAATCTGTGACAGAATCAAAAGATTCAGCAAGACATGAAGATAAACCAAGCGAAAAGGATTCCAATGAATGTGAAACCAGCCAGATAGAAACAGACTTAAAGGAGACTTCCAGTATAGAAGAACCACCAGAACAACCAACGGTAGAGGCGAAAGGCCAGCGTAGGCCACGAGGCAGACCAAAAAGGGCAAACAGCAAGGCCCACAAGCGAAGAGAAGAGGAGCCAAGAGAAGAGGAAAATACTTCAGATGTACCAGATGAAGCACAACCATCGCCATGTGGCAAAAGAAAGCGCGCAACTAGAAGTACTTCCACCGAGTCAGTGCCAGTTCTACCTGAAGCAACGCCAGCGGAAGACGAAGATCAGCCTGAGTCCACCCCATCTATGAGCCCCAATCGCAAGCGACAAGCGAGACTCAGTTCTCCCACGACAACAGCTAAAGTGCCAGCCAAAAGAGGTAGAAAAAGTTTAGCAGCCGTGACAGAAGCAACACCAACTACGACGCCAACGCCTGAAACCCTCAACAAACTGCAGCTGGAGGAGGAAACGATTGAGGTAACGCCAACGAGAAAAAGAGGCAGACCCAGGCAAACTGCGGAGTCGACACCAAAGCCAAACGATGAGTTCCAACTGCGTCTGTTGCTCATACGAAAGCGGGAACAGCTGGACACCAACGAAGATCTCTACGAGCAGGGCAAGGGTCCGCTCCAATGTGGTGTTTGCCTGGGCCGCACCACCAAAGCCAATTGGAACAAACATCTGAAGCAGCACTACGGAGTGGGTTGGGTGCTCGCAGAACAAGAACCGCAACAGGTAAGGATACAAATTTAAAGATTCATTTCTATTTTGATTACACTTTGTCTCGTTTTTGTAGACTCTTTCACGGGTAGCTGTACTAAACATGATGAAAGGTTATCTCAAAGATGGCCACGCCACACATTTAAGCTGTCGCCTGTGTGATCGGCAGTTGGGCTCTGGCCTGGGCATGTTGACGCACCTGGAATCGTGCGGGGACAACGATAAGCCCGAGTGTCAGTACTGTAAGCGCACCTACACGAAGCTCTATCATCCTGTGCATGAGAAAAGCTGTGGGCAACGTCCCATGGCCCAGCAGCAGCAGGAGAAGGCTGATAAGCCAGAGGCAGAGACGCCATACTCGAATGTTGATTGGATCAAACGTTTGCTGCTCATCCGTAAGCGAGAGGAGCTGGCTACCAACGAAGAGCTCACCGAGAAGGGTACAGGCAAGGGACCCCTTCAATGTGGCCTATGCCTGGCCCGCAGCACCAAGGACATGTGGACAGCACACCTGAGGCAGCATTATGGCGTGGGTTGGCTCACGGGCAAAGAACCGCAGCCTCTCAGCCGAAAAACTTTGTTGGCGATGATGATAGCTTACCTCAAGCAGGGCCATGCAAAGCATTTGGAGTGTCGCCTTTGCGGTCGCCAGCTGGGCTCTGGCCTGGGCATGCTGATGCATCTGGAATCGTGCGGGGACAACGATCGAGTGGAGTGTCAGCACTGTAAGCGCACATATACGAAGCTCTATCATGCCGCGCATGAGAAATCGTGCAAGGAGCGTCCAGGCCTGCAGCAGAAGAAGGAGGATGCAGCAGAGGCAGTCAACGTAGGGGAAACTACGGGTCCGATGTACACGAACGCGGGTCATGCCAAGCGCAAGTCCACCATTAAGTAAGTCAAAGAAAAACGTAATTTATTTGACTCTCTAATACATAAATGGATTTTTCAGAGCCGAAAATAAATTGAAGAAAATCAAGGCGGATCTGAAAACGCAAGACAACGAGGAGCGCGATTCAAATACCAAATCAAAAGATGACTTTGAAGGCGATTCATCTGACTATGATATGAACCAGGACAAAGAATCCTCAGAGGAATACGATTCAGAGGCGGTCGATTCCAACGAGGATGCTGCGCAGACAGAGGATGACATCAGTCCCAGTGATATGCCCAGATTGAAGCAGATTAATCGAGTCAAGCGGAAGAATGTAGAGGGGAAAAGTATGAAGAATGACAGGCAAACGGGAGGAACTAATTGCCAGCCATGTAAGCATTTAAATTCATTAATTGTTCCACTATATATTTAATATTTTTATGTCTATGCATTACAGTGTTCTCCCGCTATGCAAAGCTGCATAAAAAAGTGGAACAAAAATGGAACCAATTGTGAGCATTTCCTTTCTACGAATATTTTTCTGTATTAATTATATTTCATTTACCTTTAAAGCACCGATAAAAACTATGCTGCAGAGGCCTTGTATCCACAGCTAAAGCCTGCCTATTGCAGGCTCTCTTCGGCGGAAGCCAGGGAGTTGTTGCCTGCCAAGGATACCAGATCCATGCGCTATGCGTATGGTGATGTGGAAAATGCAGATGATTGGAGGCAGCTGGCACCGCTGGAGAGCTTCCAAACAGTCGGTAAGTCATCTCCAGAGACTCCCCCGAGAGAGAGAAACTTAACTGATGAAATACTTTCCTTGAATAGATGAACATATTGGCTTTTTGGGAGCACCTATCAAACAGCTCGCCTGGGCACCCCTGCCGCCAACGGTCACCGAGCAATATCTGCTGTGCTCCCTCCGCAAACATATGCTGGCCCATGCCAGGCAGATACCGCATAAGTTTTCGGATGCCCTGTTAATGCTGCTCAAGTGCAAGTTGTCTGCTAGCGTCAAGGAGAGGCAAGGAGTGTGGCCTCTGGAAACGAGCCTACACTATGCCATACGAGTACCCAATGGACCTGTTCATACCTTTGCATTTATGCCCAGTGGCGGGTATGATAAGTCGGCCAATCGATTGGGTCTGCTGGCGGTGGCTAATTCGTTAACCGATGTGAAGATCTATGCCCTGCCACTGGAACTGGAAGATGAGGCAACTGGGAATGTGGTTATTGAACTGCAGTCAACGCTGACACTCACACTGGATGTGCAGAATCCTGTCATGGATCAGTGCACTAAAATCTGTTGGTCTGAGGTGAGTTTTTTCTCAGGCTAGAAGTATTCAAATAACTACATTTATATTTATAATTTGCAGGGCTCTAGTCACAATCTCCTGGTGACTGGCTATGCCAGTGGTAACGTTGCCTTTTGGGAAATTTCGGATGAGCAGAGCATTAATTGCTTTAAACAAAAAAATCACTCAACCTTTGTTCCTTTGCATTTTTTCTACTTTGGCGAGCATAATATACAGAGTAAGTTTTTCTTCTTTCACAAAGATTTATTAATTTATTAATCGCCTTTTCTACTAATCAGTTTTGGAGCTTCATTATGACACGAGTGGACCACGTTGGCTGGCTATTGGTACGTCCACGCGAAAATTATGGATCTATGATATTATCAACTGGTCGCAGCCAATGCCCCTAAACGAAGACTCCATCTCCAATCTGTATTTGGCCAGTGCCTTCTGGCCACCCATTTGGGAAGCGCTGGTCGTTGCCTGCAGTGATGTTCAGCGACGCTGTAAGTCTGTTTATTTCTTTGATTTATTTCGTTATTTAAGTTTATGTTTCTTGCAGTTTACTCGCGCTTGATATCGCTCAGCCCAACGGGCATCCTGTTTAACAACAAAACTGTGGACTATACGATTAGCTCTGGGCGAGCCATGCACTTCAATGTGCAGGAGAATATCCAAGTGGTGGCCACTGATAATGGGGATTTGGTGTTCCTCAATGTCCGTGAGCTCAACGCGGAGCCCATACTGCTGAAGATGTTGAGCAAATTCCGTGTCGTATCTACCAGCAATCTGTGTAATATGAGCACGGAATTAACAACCCCGGCTACACCCGATACACCTATAACTACCGACGATTTTCTACGTGATTTTGGCTTGAACCTTAAGCCATTGTCTCTGGTGACCAACGTACAGAAGGCGGCCTACATCAATCCGAAGCGACTGCCCAAAGAATACGAGCTTTTGCCCATGACGCGTTTGAACACAGTTCGATGCAATTGGAACAGACCGGCGCACAGTTGGGTGGCTGTTGGGGCAGAACACGGTATGCTGCGAATCGTTAATTTTGATCAAGAGAAGTTCTTTTAGCGGCACATTCTCGGGGATATCTCGTATAATAGGCACACATCTCTGAGAGTATATTACTTTCTGTTAAATTCTTTGGTTAGTTTTAAAATATACACGATGGATAATCATAGTTGTAAATTAATTATAGCTCTTGTTAAATTATATATTTCCTATGTATTTGATATGGATTAGATATTTATACCTGCAACCTGCTTGGCAAACAAATAATAATCTAAAGCTACTTTTTTTACAATATTTATAAAAATGTTCGTATAATTTGCGAAGATACTCCCACTCCCACTCCCACCAAAAGGTGTCCGTTCGATATCCCTTAGGGAGGGAGAGAAAACTGAAATTGAGACTCGCTTTCACTCCCTCAGCAGAAGAGGAGAGAGAGGCTGAGCCAAAACAGTTGCAAATTTGCAATACGCATGCAGTTAGAACGAGCACCGGGTAGCCGGAGTTCATGGAATTGCAGAGCAATTAGGAATAGGGCCAGAGAGCATGGAAGCTTGGAATTGGAACGAGCACTAAGCCGCGCACGCATCTGTCACGCTCTCCCTCTCTAATAATAATTTTTCTATCCGGGCGAAGCGCGCGTTCTAAAGTCAGCTCCGCGTTTTAAGTCGTGAAAACGCGAAAATCTGTGAAAATCCTGCGGAAAATGTGTAGTGTTGCTGTGAGGTGAAGTGCTAAAGTGAATAAACAATAAATATGTCCCAAAAGTGTTGTTAAAGTGCAAGTGAAAGTGTGTGATAAAGTGCGGCGGCGAAAAAGCCAAAAAGTGGCGGAATGGCGGAATGCAGAGAAAAACTGAAGCGTGTGAAGTGTTTAAAAGTGTTTATGTGCAATGGTCCCAAAATGGCTTATGAAGGCGGAAGAATGCAATGCAAAAGTGTAGTGTGTGCAAGTAAATTGCTATAAAGTGAAAAAAGAATATATCAATAGAATACTGTTTAATAAATAAGCATATTGTTATATGCATACATTTATTTTCTTTGCAAAATGAGCGTTTAGTCACGTGATCTTGTGTTGTGGTGTGTGTGTGTGTGCGTGGGAAAAGTATGCTTTCTCCCTCATACATGTAACTTGCACTAGAAGAAAGAAGAACGTAGAAAGAAGCAGTAAGCGCTCGCTCTGAATGCAAGTGTCGCAAAAGTGTAGGGTGATGCCTAGTCTTGAAATGTGTCTCTCTCTCCCTTGTGCAGAGTGTGCCCACTCAATATCGTGAGATGGTTCCTTCTAGTGTCTCACCTTACCTAATGGTATTAATGCAAGCCTAATTTTATGCTCTTATTGGAATGTCTCAGTCCAAATCAATTTGCATGTGAATGTGTGCGCGGAGCTGACTTCGGTGCTAAAGAAAGCGGAAAAAACGGGAACTCGCGCTCAGTAATTAATTGCAGAAAGAGGTGGAGTGGTCAATTATGCATAAAAAGGTGAGTTGTATTTATTCTTTGTCTACAATTGCAGACAAAAGTGTTTGCGATCTAGTCGCTCATATTGAAAGACATGAATCTCTATACTTAGCTATTCATGCTGATCGGGTACCAGATAAATAAGCTTCAGAATCAAAGAATTTAGTATGAATTCAAATTGAAAAAAAAAATTGAGCTAGTCCCGGTCCGGGAAAAATAGAAAAACAATGGTCATCGATTCTACGAATGACGAAATGTCACTGCAAGACTATAATAGGCGTTTAACCAACTTGCTGGGACGCATGCAGCGGCTTGAGGAGTCGTTTCACAGACTAAAGCCATTGTGTCTCCGCAGCAGTTTGGAGAGCGTCGATACTCGGGAGGAGGAGGTAGCCACCCCTTAATCTTAATGGTCATTCCATATTCCATAATCTAATAAAACAACAACACGATTATTTACAACATCATATATTGAATATATATATATATATTTTTCATTCCACTTTAATCGTTAGTTAGTTTAACCATAAATACTATATGCACGCCTAACAATGATAGACCGAGAGGCTTTGCAGCTTTTAGGAAAGGAAACCATTCAGGATATTGAATAAAAAATTATAAAATATAAAAAATCGTGTATCTTTATGTGGTTTATTTAATAAAATATATATAAACATATTTCGCTTTGACGCGAAAATAAATAAATGTGGCAAAAGGCGTGGCTTAGTTTACAACTTAAAGGAGGATATGCTAAATGAATTCAAATCGACTGAATGCCTTTCGAAGTAACAGACATGGACAGCTTTAGATACTCGTATACATACATATAGTACATATTCGTAGACACATATATATATATTGTAAAAATAGAAACATTTTATTAAAACCCGAACAAAATGCAATTGTGCCTTAAAATCGTACGGAAAATTCATGAAATTTGTGTGTGTTTAAAAAGAATGCGAAATAATGCTAAATAGGCGTACAATACACACTTTAAACATACACAATATATTAATATACATAGATAATATGTCTTGTTTATTTCTTAAATTGCTGTTGTCTTTTCTGTGGCTGCCATGGCAAGGGAAGAGGTCAGAGAACCTCTTCCTCTACCCTTGCAGTTCGTTTATGATGCAGTGGACCTTCAGTCTTCGCTCTTAGTTTCAGTTTTTGCTGCAACTCCCTATCGCTATCTCGTATCTCTGATTCCCTCCTTCGATCTGCATTAAATTCTACAAACAAAATTCTAACATCAATTGAAAACGCGAACCTAAATCAAACATAAAATAACAGCAAAGTTAACAGTGATTTGCGGCGGTTCAACTTCCAGTTTTCCGATTTTCGCTTTACTTTTCCGCACCATTCACCGCCTGAGTGGTGGCGGTGGTGCTGCTGTTGCCAGCCAACTCCTGTTGGATCTCGTTCAGACTCTTGCCCTTCGTCTCGGGCACGGCAAAGAAGACAAAGAAGACGCCGAGCACTGTGAGGCCAGCAAAGAGCCAAAACGTGCCGCCATTTCCCAGACCCTTGTTTAAATCATCGAATGTCTTGGTGACCACAAAGGCCAGCAGCCAGTTGGTGGTGCCAGCAAGGGATCCAGCAAATCCCTTGATATCGGTGGCAAACAGCTCGCCCATCATCAGCCATGGCACCGGTCCGTAGCCAATGGAGAACATGAGAATGAAAATGCACAAACTGGCCACTGGCAGCCAGCCCAGACTCTCAACCTGGGTGCTATCCTGATCCTGCAGAAAGAAGTACACACCAATGGCGGTGGTGGAGAGGGCCATCACAGAGCCAGAGGCCAGCAGCAGAATGCGACGTCCCAGCTTGTCCACCACCAAAGTGGAGACAAAGGTGGCCACCACCTGCATAATGCCAATCATGATCGTAGCCCATTGAGAGCCAATGCCGGTGTTTGCATCCTGTAAAAAAAAATCAGTTAGTTTCACTCGATTTACAGTCGTTCCTTTGTGATCTGCACGCACCAAAAAGATCTTTGAGGAATAGAAGATGACAGCATTAATTCCACACAATTGCTGGAAGAACATCAGGCCCAGACTGATGGCCAAAGCCTTGCGGGTCACCGGACGATTGAGGGCTGCCCAAACGTTCACCTTATTCTCGCGTATCTCCCGATCGGTCTCATGCAGCTCCTCCAACTCCGGTGCGTAATCGTATTCCTTGCCACGCAGCCACTGTATGGACTTGACGGCACTTTCCGAACGACCTTTTGCCACCTGTTGATTGATGGGGATTGATTCTCAGATTTTCCACTTGATAAGATTTGATTTTTTGTTTATAATGTTATCGTGTGCTTCGCTTGGGCATGCCCCATATCTTTTGGACATTTCCTTGACTTAAGATAGCTGATTGACTTGAAGATTATAGCTACTCAAAACGGTATCTCCAAATCATGCAGGGCGTCAATTAACATAGTTTGTGGGTTTTGTTTGACTTACCAAGTATGTGGGAGATTCCGGCATAAAGAAGAAGATGACGCCAAAGACGATGGGTATAATGCCGCAAATGACGCTCAACCAAAAGACATTGACACCGGCTCCGACAGCATATACGAAAAGGATACCTATGGTGATCATCAGTTGAAAGAAGCTGCCAAGCGTGCCGCGTATATCCTTTTGGGCAATCTCGCCTGTGTACATCGGAGCAGTCACACAGAAGGCACCGCCGGCCAGACCAAGAATGAAGCGAGAGGCATACAAGAAGCCCACAGATGGGGCCCAAATGAGCATGGCCCATCCGACAAGGAAGGGCAGGACCAGCATCAACATCGTCAGCTTGCGTCCAATCATGCTGATGAGGAAGCCAATCGGAATGCACACAAAGGCAGCGCCCAGATTCATGCTGGAGCCGATCCACGAGAACTGGGTGGCGCTGACGGGGAAGTCATAGCCCTCTCCATCGACCACGATCTCCGTTTGGGCAGGCGATGTCCAGCCCAGTACGGTACCGGCGGCAAAAGCACCGCCAGCTGCTGCCAGAGCGGCCACATACTGAGGCAGCTTCCTGGACTTGTTATCGGTGGAGGCGTGCACCATGTTGCCGAGTAGATTCTCCTGATCCTGCGAACAAAGAGAAGGTTCAAGTGTAAGTGAATCGTTCCTCTTTGAGCAACTAAAACTAACTGAGGGCTGGCTATTAGCTGGCTGCTTTAACTACAGGAACTGGCACATACTCAACTCATATCAAATCATTTCTACCATAAGCCGTGATAAGGTCTCTCGTATCTTGCTACCACCCCCCGTCCAGTGATTAGGACCTTTATTGGCGCTACACAACGGTGTACCTAGTGGGTAACCGATAGTGGGCATTCCATTTATGCACCTATATTTATGACACACTTCCATACAAATAACCATCGAACGGACTATTGCTATGGCTATGGCTATGCTCTCTCACGTTTGTGGTCGCTGTGAAGAGCTTCATTATGCCGATCACATAAACAGAAGTCGCGACCCATATACTGGGCCTAACACTTAGATATCGTTCGGATGGACAGGTTCAAAATGATTAACAAAATGGTAAAGACTTTAAATCAAAGCTGCTACGTGCATAATTCTATATGATTCAACATTAAGTTGAGTCTTACTTTGGATTCTACATATGAACGTGGATTAAGCAAGGGCAATTGTGTGATTTTTCTTTAATATGATAAGTTAGTGCTTAATTACTGGAACTTTTAACAATTATTAGCATGGGAATTAACTTAAAGGCATATCAGATAAGAAGTAATCTCTCCTTAAGATTATAATTGAGTAACAAGTTCTATATCAGAATCAAATTATGATTAGTTCCAATTGATTATTTTGTTGGTGCATTTGTTGGAAACTTCTCTGATTAAATTTCACTTCACTTTAAATTACCATTTGACAAGTATAGGAAAAACCCTTCGATCCTTTAAAGCTACACCCATGGCTATTACCGATTAAATATGTAGATATGTAGAACATATGAAGGAGCGCGCATGCCATCGCCATGGGAGGCAATACTACTCATTGACTTCCGTTCATTAAGCCATAAATTCTTGTATAATCGGTAAATAAGTTAAGGTTATCGCCTGCCCCACAAATCAATCAACAATTGCCTAGGAATTCATTTACATTTTCTAGGCATAGTACAGAGAAAAGGTACATCAGATGATCTTGTGGAATGGTTATTAGCTTTTTGCAGGATTGGAGGATTGGAGTTCAGGGTTCCGAATTTATTATTCGATAAATTTAATTAGCCTCTGTCAAAGTTTAAAATATTTGTAATGAAAAAACGTATTTCTTTTAAATTTTAGAAAGGAAACTCTTTGTGGGAAAACTCTTTAATGTTTCCGCGTTCATGTGTGATTTATAGACATTTTCTCTCGGCATTGCCTCTTCCTTTATATCCAGTGTGTCGCCGCCCACTCTTGAAGTGTTCCCTGTGTATCCCAAATCTCAGCCCACATGACAGACATGAGCCAGAGAGCTCGGGAACAAATCACTTCCGTGAAAAGCAAGCAAAGCGTCACAGAGGGGAAACTGCAGCTGGATAGTGGAACGACGCCCACATACATATTTACTTGGTGTCGGGACACACCTCCGGCCTGCTGCCAGACTGCCACAGACTGACAGTAAAAAGTAAACGAAGCGTTAAAGCCCAGAGCCCACTGAAATCGATAGCTGCCTCTCGACTCGCGACTCTGAGCTCTGGTCTGCTCTGCTTGGCTGTTCTGGCTGTTCTTGGTTTGATTCCGTCTGTTCCGTCTGTGGCTAATGTGGTCTCTTCAATCCCCTGCCTAGCATTCTGAATCTAAATTTAGATTAAATACTAAACGAAGCTCGCGAGGAGGAACTCGTTGGGAGCCCCTAAGTGGGCGATGACCCGCCTGCCCCCCTTCCTTCTGACCATCAGCTCCTTCCTTTTCTAGAAGAGAGCGAGTGTCAGCGACCAAGCCAAGTCCAAGTTCGTTTCAATGTCAGTGGCAGTAATGGCAGTGGCAAGCGGGGCGCAACAGTGCGCGTCATACTCGTATGTATGCAAAGAATGACATTCCATTAAACTGGTTCACAAAATTAATAAAGCATAAAGAAATTCCACTAAAAATACTTTATAATCATTTGACTAACTCTCGTCCAACCTGATTTATAATGCTCCCGGCCTATAAATAATTGAATTTTCATTTCGGTAATTTTAAGAATTCCCATTTGGATATTCCGGAGGTTCCATAACAACGGAATCTTGAGATTACAGCAGGAAAAAGGGCAAGAATCTTTGAGATTTCTTTTAACATTGCTTAAAGGAAAATGTTTTCTGCTATTAAAGATGGAAACTGATCGGTCAAGTGCATTCCCTTTACATTTTGCCATTTTCTCTGAGTGTAGAAGGAAGATATCCATTTTGCATAATCCCTAAAAATAGGTATAATTTATATAAACGAAAGTGACTTCATTTTTTATGAATAAAACAAAGCCATCAACATTATGTTTTATAATGCCAGAAATTTGGCTACTTCATTGTTATTCCAATGCTATGTGTCAGGTCAGGTGGTTTTTCGACTTCTGTTGCTCCAGTCCAAATCTATTCAAATGCTGAACACGATTCGGCGATTTGTTGTTACCATTTTATCTGGGATTACGGCAGAGTGTGGCACAAAACAGTCCATGGTTCAACGCTTTATTTATTTTTAATATTTTCCGTTGAATTTTATGACTAATTTTCTCCACCCATTGAAACGAACATTCATTCCAATGAATGATCAACAATGAATGACATATCCATATTATATCTTAGTTATTATTATTATAAATATATAAATGCACTCTACTCCCCTTCCCCGAGGAATTGGTTTATTTTTACCATACGCCCCCTTTTTCTTTTAATTATATATTTGTCGTTCTATTTAGGGAATATCTTTGGGAATATCTTTGGTCTTGGCTGTCTCTTTCTGAACGTTGTTGACCTTGTCCAACATGGAACATAAAAATAGAAAGTCTTCAACATGTTCCCCATGGCCTGGGGCTCTCGTTACGGTTGATAAGCTCAACGATCTATCATTTTGGGCTGTGATTTTCAGTTAATAATGATGAAAAAATGAAATTAGTTTGGTTTGGTTCATGATATTTTCATGTGTGTAGAAAAATGTAGATAAGTATATTGTCTGGAGAGAAATAAACAATTCAACTGCTGATAATTGCTTCTTCAACTATTTATATCTTGTATCTTTTGTTTTCCAGCGGCAAAATATTTTTGCTCTCAGAACTGGCGTTTACTTTACAAACAGTTGAGACTGTGTTTGCTCTTGGACAACTTTTAACATCTATAAAACGATTTTTTTTTGGTACCCTAACTGGGTACATTTGCAATAAGCTTATAAGCTTCAGGGTGGAAAAAAGTGAAGCTAAAACACCTCCCAGAAGAGTATTCCTATTAAAGAAATTACCATGGAAAGGGTTAATATTTTGGATTAATTTCGCACTGTTCTACTTGAACTTTTGCTTTGTTTTACTTAACGAATTAGCCATAAGTGAACCTTTAACCTTTGGTATACCCATCACCAGGAAGTGTATCTATGAAATACGAGTAGAATCTTTTTGGGTTTGCCTACATGGGGTGTGGTGGAGCCATTGTCATTGGCTTTGATGATTTTTACCGCTTGGCGGGAGCCATATTTGGCCCCGTTCTCGGCGGCCTCGAGCAGGTGGGAGCTCTCCTCATTGCTGCTGCCGGGCTTCCTCGGGGCCTCCTCTGCCCCAGCACTGGAGTTGCTCGATGAGGCTGTTGACATCTTTACGGGATTATGTAAACTGCGGTTGGGTTTCGGGTTGTTCCTGGAGCTGTTTACTCTAGGGATATGTTCTCTTCACCGATATGTTGTAGCTTTCCTTTTTTTCCTGATTTTCTTGCACTTTTTCACACAGTGCACTCCACGGCACTGCGGCGCAAAATTGGTTAAATAATAAATCGAGCACTGAAACGTCTGGATATGTACACTTGTACGTATGTCCTTTATCTGAGACTTTTGTCCTTTATCGCTGTGGCCACCCACGTAGCATAGAGAATACTTTCCGGCGCATGCGCACTCAATCACAAAACATGTTGCTGCCCAAAAACGACCAAAAATATTCTTTCTTTCTTTCTTTCTGCACTCTCAAAGACCGAAAATATTTGTTACACCAATATGTTACAGATTTAAATGGATTTATATTTTATTTTGGATATATTGATGGTTCACAATTTTCAAAAATTTCCGGATAAGCAGCACAAACATCCGGGTATCCGTATCTTCATATCTTTAAACCGCACGCAACGAATGATGGCTAGCAAATGGCGCGCCAAACAATAAAAAAAGGCCTTCGCCGGGCTCTGGACTTGTTTTCCTCTCTTTCTCCATCTTTCTCGCTCTCTGTTTCTCGCTGTTGGCTCTCTGTCTCTGCGAGAACTGGTCCCTCTCTCTCTTTCAATGTCTATGCCGCATGGCTGGTCTGCCATGGTATGGGCATGGTCTTGGGGTAGGGTTGCGGGCTACGACGATGACGCTGACGCTGTCGTGAGGCTATTGACTCTCAAACTGGAATTGAAAGCCCCTCAGTGTTTTTATATTATTTTTATTTTGATTTCTTCTTATTCGGCTTTCTGGTGTTCTGTTGGAGTGTGCAGGCCGGCGACTGGTTGCAGTAGATGTGCATGGCAGAAGGCAACACATGGAAGACATTTCCTGATTTTACGCCTTCGTTTTGTTTTTGCCGCATGCTGTGGTTTTTTCTCTTTCAAGGAACTTTATTTATAATGGGGTCAATGCAAATTTATGGATCTTGCAATTGAACTCTGAATCTGCTTTGGAAACTTCTCCAATTGCTGGTGAAAATTGCCACTCGAACTTTGCAAAATATTATAAAATCGGGGGAAATTAATCGTAATTCTTAAATGTAAGTGCATTTTTCTTTGAGTGCATGAATGTATCACAGCAATTGCATAGCCACCGACATTCAGTTCATGATGAAAAAGATTAGCAATTCAATCAATTTGTTTATTGGATCGCTTAGCCAGGGAGAAGAAATTTCAAAGTACCTACATTGTAGAATATATAATCGTAGATCCGCACGCTGCATACACTATTGAGGGCATTTCCGTATGCACACAAAGATTAAGATGCAGATACAGATACAAATACAGATGCTTTCCCCTCTTTAGATTAAGACTCGAATTTTGATACAAAACAAAGTGGGGCATGTGTGCAGCTATAGATACAAGTACTTGTATTTGTGTAGAATGAATATCCATTATAATTTTCAATCCCATTTGCCCAGGCATTGTTTGATTAGCTATGCAAACGCATACAACTCGTACATAAATTCCATTGATCTATGTGGATCACGTGTCGTTGGACATGTTGCTCGAAAGACCCTCAAAACCATTTATTATGCTTCCTATCTACGGTCTCTGAGTCTCAATAAAGTACGTCTTTTTCTGCTTTTGGGTTTTATTTATATTTTTTCAATGAATAAACATGACAGTGCATTGAGGCTTCTACCTATTACATTGCGTATGAGTAAATGGGTCGTCAGGTAAGAAAAGTATTCGAGTGTTTTCGAAATGTACGTAAGTTTGCTGGTAAATGAGTTTAGAAATTTTGGAAAGTACAAAATAGGCAGAGTGGAGTGTGGTGGGAGTGGGAGGTGGGAGTGGAAATTCGAGAATTTTAATGATTAATAAATTAAATGCATATTATTGTAGAGTTTTAAATGGTAAAAAGATATGTTCACCATATATTTAATACATTTATGTATTATTTATCATTATTTATTAAGCAATTGTAAGCAAACAACATTACGAGCTTCCTTCATCTACAGCAATTACCTCGCCAAAAGCTTTTGCACATGCTCTTAGTTGGACAAAAGCCTCGGTTAAATCCCACCGTGGTTCCTCCTCATCCTTTCAGCATATGAAAACGCTGCAAAGCCAAGACTTGGAATTCAACCAAACATTTGGCACGCTTCATGCTGGGATCAGGCGCACAGCGGCGCCTAAAAGCATGCTCACCTGCTGCGAGTATTCCATTTCCATATACAGAAATGTATCTCGGCATCTTTATCTACACGCAATCCGCAACTGTGTGTATACATATATGCCAGTTTGTGTCCGTGTGTGTGTGTGTGTGTATTAATTATGGTAGCGGCAAGACAAGGGCGAGCAAAGGGCTAAAACAGCTCAACAACTCAAGGAATGATGAAATGCCGGCATTGGCTTGGCCTGGCGTGCCTTTACGTAACTGCAAACCCAGAAGCATTGGCCCCCAGGTTGACATAGTCTCTGATTTCTGTTTGGCCTACGTCAGTGGCTACGCCACGCAACGGTCTGTATCTGACAGATACAGACACTCTGGGGCATTTAGAGGGGCGTGTGCTGCGCGCGTGACGTCACAGAAGCCAAGCCCCAAATCTCCACCAATCAGCACAGAGTACATGAACATGTGGATACATTTGTATGTGCATATTTGCATGGCTGGCCTGTACGCGTGTGTATCTAAATGCTTTCTTTGTCTTTGCCAGTTGCTTTGCTTGCACATAAATCACGCGATACTCTTGTTTAGTTCTTAGTTCAAGTGCAACTACCAAATATTTCTGCTGACCCAACCATCGCCATCATCGTTTCGTTCTTTATCTACGACCTACATTTGAACTTGTGACAGGGCCAACATGAAGCTGATGAGTACCAGCCAGCCAGCTAGCCAGCCACAAATTTCACAAGTATTATGGATTACCCAAAAATCAATAAGGCAACCTCAAGGTGAACGTATCTCTAGATACATTTGTGTGTGCGGCATGTGGGCGGGATTCTTGTCCTTGGTCAGAGCGAAAAAAGAGAACAAGTCATTCAATTGTTCGCCAAGTTCATGAAATTTCCAAGATTTCCCTCGAAACATTAATTTATGGACTGTCCAAGAAATGTTCCAAATTGTGGGTCAGTAGGACAGACAGCATTTTCAAATATATTACTTTTTAATGTTTTTTTTGCATTGCTTAATTATTTATTAAGACGACATATTTTTTATACTTACACTTAAATCTCACGGGTATTAAGGGAAGGAAATTAAGGCGTTATTCTGGAAAAGAAACAAGATTTTAAATTAAATATATTTTTAGTGTGCAACTATTACTTTCTCAATATATGGGTTCAATTTAAATATGTACAATATCATTACTTTATTTCATAATTTATTGGTGTTGTTTTTTATATAAAAATTGGTTGGACTACTTGTAATTATTTTATTTGAAAATATATTTTAACTTAAATTGAAATTTGAATGTAACTAGTGTTTACATTATTATTATTAATTTAAACTTTTGTATGTTATTTATTTAATATATTTTATTATTCCATTCTAACATTCGAATCACAGCTTTTCCCTTTAAATTCGCTAACAGTCAAAAGCTGAACGTTGCCAAGTTTCATTTAACGCAAGCTTTTCGTTCCTACATTTAACTGGTTACAATTAATCTGAAACTGTAACACTCCAAATGTAGCTCTAAAACTGTAGAGCAGTGACTAAAGCGAAGCTTAAATTGAACCCGAAGTGGGCTGAAGTGCTAAATAAATATTATTATTGTTAATATTTACATATTTTTGCAGTGGAATTTTCCAAACATTTGTTAACTTTTTTAATATATGCTGCAGACCAAAACTTTTTACTACAAAATCTTATGCTTTATATCCGAATGGCTTAAAAAGCATATATCCTTTAATTTTACATTTAAGTTTCCATTAAATATTAATGCATATCGTTCCACAATTATCCGAACATAGGCATTTAACTGCTCTGTCCATCGATGAAATTGTTTTCGGTCAGACTGACAGACATCAGAAGAAAGCAAAAGAGATGTGTGGATGTGTGTGAGGGGGAGCTCTTATCATGGAGCGGAAACCATGAAGCGAGATTAGAACCGAAGTACGAGCATTCCCACGGGCACAGGAGGGGGTATACGGTCACCGGGTTTATCTCGGTCACGACTTATCGGAGTTATGTCATTCGATTTGTATTTCGGCTGGTAAATCGCTTTATGGCTGCCATCGAACCAATAGATTTCCATATCGGGACCCCAGCCAAGTCATTCCAGATATGGTTTTGTACTAACATTTGAAGTATTTATGTGCAGACTCGACGTCGACTTCGACTCATTGATTGAATGCATTGCGAATCGGTCAATCGGGGCCCGATGACTATAAATACTCTAGAACGATATGCTTGATTGACGGATCATAGAGCGATAAATGCGACAATATAACAGTATAAATGCCGGCGTGCAAGCCCCCACATCTACAACCACACCCACATCCACATCAACCATAATCAGAGATCAGAGAACCGAACCACACACAGCGCAGAACCTTAACAAGAGATTTCCTTATTAAATTCACTAAAAAGCGAAACTATTTTAAATACAGTACCTACACATAGCGCGGGAATTTATGAGAGTCAATTGAGCGCACTTTACTTTGATTAAATGAAATCTTTATGGGATTGCTTGCTTTCAGATATAAGAAATGCCTGGAAAAGAAAACACAGAAACATGGGGGGCTATGGCCGAAAGATATACATATCTACTTAGTCAGAAATGATAAGGTTTGTGAGCTAAACGAGGGGGAGCACAAAGGGAAGAGGATATTTTCGAAAAAAGAGTTGTCTGCTGAAATCCAGTTATTTGCGGTACCTTTAATCTGCTGTAGAACCCGATTAATTATTTCAAGTAAAATACGAGGCTACTCGGCGGCCTCTAATGGGGATTGCCCTTGGATCGTGGAACGGAGCCAGCCGATTCGATCAACCATGAAGCTGCCCTACAGAGGAGGCTCTCTGCTGCGCTGTTCTTGGCCGGGTACAAGTTCAAAGTCTTAGCACTTGATTCCCATTCGTGCCCATTTGTATTGTTATTTAGCAACAATTGAGATTGAGATTATGTTTTATTCAAGTGGAGCTGTTGATTGAAGGAGCCAAAATTGTGGGTTTCGCAGTGACGCAAAAGCAAACTTAAGTTGTGGACGAGCCCCAAAAAAAGAAGGTGTCGACAGATCGGAGTCCTATTTGGAGGCTGGGGCATGGGGCCTGCCGCCAGTCGCCTATCGCGGCGACTGCATTCAATGAGGGGTCAGTGCGGGGTTTATCAGTGGGTCCAAATGGGCCGTTCGTTGTCTCTCGCCTGTCGCAATTTCAATCATCTATATTATTTTTTTTATATTTTACATTATATTTCATTACATGTGCACATTTTCCTCTTAATTTTCCGCCAGCTGCGTGTGCTGGGCGCCTAATGACTGGAAAATGTTGAAAGCTCAACCGTTTGCCATTATGTATTACATTTTGATAAGACTCTACACAGTAGTCGTGCTGATTAAACCTTAACCCGGCAAATTGATAAGACGTGGGGCTTTCTGGGCTATTTAGATGTCTAATTAATGTGTCGCACAAGCCTTTTAAGCGATTTTTCCCGGACCATTTGCACACATTTGTTAACCTTAGAGCACCTTATCGGCGCGTTTTATTGACGCCAAGAAATTTGCTTAATCAGCATGCGAACCTATAGTAATTATAACTATTTTCATGGTTCTCTAGACAACAGAGCGCTAATTTGTGTGAAAAGTACATCAAGAATATCAATTTGTTAAGCCATTCTGAAGGTTTAGTGCCTATATCTAAGTTCTTATCATGCCTATATAGATAGCCATTCAAGCTATCAGCGTAGGATATCGATCAAGGTTTTTTTTTACACTGATTAAAGTGGGCAACGATTGACTAATTGAAGAATCCGACAAGCCGCTATCAATTGTGTATCCAGGAGTAAATAAGATAGCATTCAATGGAAATGAATGACTCTTGAGATGGAGACATATCCACTTGCTTAATCATTTGTAAATTATTATAAGCGGGTGTAAATGTCTTTAAAATTACATAGTACAGCCTGAGGGCATGGGCGTGACATTGGACAGCATTGACATTGACACTTTGCCATGTGTTTTTCCTAGACGATAAGCAAATGAAGAACAAAACGTACGACCAGAGATTTTTGAAACGAAACTTAAATGTCTCAAATTCTGGCACTTGGAAACACTGATAAGAGGCCTTAGTGGACCACACACACAGAGTGGCCTCGACACGCACCAATCACTCAACTTTGGGAATACGAGACAATAATAAGCTCAAAAACAAATTAGAATAAAGCGTCTGTTCGACTGTTTCCGAGAGTCCTAATAAATTTAAATTAGAGGACATTTCCGCTTATACTCGTACAGGAGATATTCACACCATCAATTAGAACTGAAACTGAGACGGGTGTATACAATAAAATGCAACTTTTGATCATTTGCCGCCATGAAAACGGGTTTCTGTTCTGTTTGCTGGAACGATAATGCGCCACCCCCGTACTCCCCCGTTATGAAAACAGATGTAAAAATATAAATAAACCCAAAATTAATGTATGTAATTTCAGTTTCTTATTGAAGCGAGGGCTATTTTCATTCACTCCATTTACATAAGCTTGTTGTTGGCCAAAGGTGTCTTTGTTTTGTGATTCAGAAATAACAAGTGCAGAAATATTTACACACGAACCGAGGAATTTTCGGTAAGAGATATTATCGGAGGAGTTGTTATTTTCATACAAGAATTTTCATTGGAAAGTATAGATTTTCAATCCTTTAATCTAAAAATCTCCTACATTATAATTGAATTAAATTATTTCTTTTTCTCCCGCACGCTGTTTAAAGTTTGAGTGACATTTATAACGGGAAATTGCTACCTTTTTTTTGCAGGCTGCTAATCTTTCATTTAATGATTCATTTCCGCTTGGAGAACAGAAATCCGAATACTATATGGAAAACTAATATAAGTGAGAGCACCATAAAAAACGGAATCGAAAAACAGTCATCAACGTCAACGCAGTAGTGCAGTGTGCAGCGGGAAGCAGATGTCTGTTTGACTGAGTGACTGACTGATTGTTTTGCGGGGAAGGTGAACGAAAGGGAAGATAGAATTTGTCGACGTGCCCCCACTTTTGTTTCTACTTAGTATTCCCATAAAATGTACGGAAGAGCCCGAACCGAATGACCGTAGAGGGAAGAGAATGAATTTAAGGAAAAAGTAGTTTAAATAAAGTTCAATAGATTCAAGAAATTATCAATATTATTGGATCATAGTTGATGAGAAGAAATATTTAATAATAATAAGTATGTCTGATCGCAGTCAACAGCTGCACTTTGTTTACCAAAATATTGACATCATTATATTGGAATTTTGTATTAAATATTTAAATTGATGCTTTATTTACAATACACTAAAATCAACAATATTTCGTTTATTTTCAGTTAATGAATCGAACGAGAGAGACAGGAGAGAACCTGTTCAATAAGCATAAAAAACGTGTCAACAATTATGAACCCATTTGAACTTGCGTAAAGGTAAGCGATTTTAAAAATATTATATTAAATAAAATATTAAATTGAAATGAAATATTAGCCAAAATTGACCAACAAATATAGAGGGGCTTGGCAATTGATATGTGCTCAATATATATATATATATATATATCTTTTATATATAATATATTTTATGAATTGAAAATATACACAAATCTATAAATATTTCGCAGCCACAAATTTTCAGAAATTTCCATAAAATATGCTCTCTTGAGGAAGATGCCTCTTGCTCTCTTTCTCTGTATAGATCATCCACGAAAGATCTATTTTATTTTTCAAGTCTGCGTGTGGGTGTCGCCAACTTTTTATACGCCTTTCTTTTGATTTCGATACCAACTTGACGTCACAGAAAATTCTTGCGTCTTAGCGTGGATATAATAGATATATTCGGATATAGAAATATATATATATATATAAAAGAACATATTTGAACTTGACAGAGAAATGTTTTCCTTACAATTTCTTTATTCAATTTCCATTGATTACAAAGCTAATCACAATCCACATTGAATTGATCTAGTGGAATTTATTTTTGTGCGCTTGTTTACACCTTTGCAAGTGGAACGCCCCAGTGCGTTGACGTCACATTGTGCTACGAATGGATTACCACAAATACGCCCAACCTCTCTCCCACTGGGTACACGTGATGTAAATTTTCCCGCTAGCAGTTGTTGTCTTTAGAGTGGGTGACAATGCCCTCCCCCCTTTTGGACAATTCTCCACAAATTGCAAATTGGTTCTCTCTATCTACATATCTATCCCATCTGTCTATCTGTATTTCCATTTCCACGAAAGGAACCCCCCGGCTTGAAGCACACGAAGCTCTACTATGTGTTTGCCCTTGAACTTGGCCGCGATAATTAGATTTCCTCCGTTCTGTGTTCTATTTCCCCTCTGTGAAAGTGAAGTAGATGAGGCCGGAGTCGGTTGATGACTTGCTGCCTCGTAAACAAATGCAAAGTGTTTGACTTTAATGAGCTGCACTGCATTTTCTCTGGAAAACATTGCAAGTTTATTTTTAAAGGCAACATGGAGACTTCCGTAACATTACATTTTGACAATTTCTCTAGGAAAGTATAAGGAAAACAGAATTTCTTTGATTTATTCCGCTCAGCTTAGGGAGTTTTTCCTTGCGATTCGTGGGTCTTTCTGTGGTCTACAAGCTAAAGTGCACATAAGACCCAAACCCAATCGCTCCGACTTATTGCTTACAATGAAAGCTATCAGCAATGAAGTTGTTTTCAAGTTGATTTCGTATCTGTTCTATCCGCTTATCAAATGATCTAAAACATCCGGCCCGAAATCAATCAAAATTAAATGCTTTTATTTAAGATCCGTTGCACACGAAGCCTCAAACGAACGTGAACGTGATTTTCAATTTAATTTGAGAGGTTTAATTCCCAATGTATTTTAAACAGGCAACCGCAAGATTATAAGGTATATGGGGGGGATTTTTCTGTGTATATATCTGGAATTAAGCTGTTGGGAAAATTCGTTTGAATAAAGTCTGGATACCATACCATAAGTAAATGAGGTAAATCAGGTGGTTTATGAATTGGATTTTTTGTTTGTCCCACGTTCTGTTGACATTTGGCACGTTCCAGTGTCTCATCGAATTAGCGCTACAGTCGGCACAACAAAAACACAATACAAAAGCACTTCCCCCCTTACCCAAAATGCAGCACGCAAAAACTTGTTATTCGGCGGCTACTAAGGGCCTTTCGATAAGGTGCACAACAGCCGAAAAACGCGTGCAACCCCTAATTAATCATTAACTTGCTCTTGCAATCAAAACAAGTGCAAAGGTTAGGCATGTTCTACGTCTATGCCTATGACGAGGCAACACATAGTCCCATACGAATATTTTTCCAAGCAAATGTCAATGCTCTTAATTATGTGCTTAGAAGGCAACCCACAGCATTTCTTCCCTACTGGCGGGAAATAGGGAAATCGGATTACGTTTCTTTCTCTCTGTTTTATATTGTTCTGCGTTTTGTTTATGTTATTTCATTTTCTTTCTATGTTTTATATTTATTTGTAATATTTTGGCACAATGTTGAGGTTTTATAAAAGATTTTCGAGCTAAACTTTGACGTCAAACAATTTCTATTTCCAATTTAAAAACACTTTTCTGCGTTGTTCTATCCTCAGACTAATCTAAGTGATTTATTGAAGTGTTTTCCATGTTATGTGACAGGCGAACTCAACCCTAAATTTCGTTTTTGTTTAAGGGAATGCGTAAAGGGGAATACATCTATAAATATTCGTAATTTATGGAAAACCCCAAACGAAATGTTTTATATTTAATTTTTACTGTACATACAGAACTTGTTTACTTATTATTAATTTATTTATATAAATATGCACATATTTATTATTATTATTTATTTAATTGCTTAAAAGCCACTACTATATTTTTCACATATATTTTTGTTCCTATAAAACTTTGCATATTCTTTCCCGCTCTTTACACATTTTTGTGTGGCTTTTCTTAGTGACTTTAAAACTGTAAAACAAAGACCGGGTAGAAGTGGAAGACCGAAACTTACCCGCAGTCGACTGTGTTTTTGTTCTTGTGCTGCTCTGCTTTTGCAGCTTCCCCACTCTTTGAACTTGAATTGTCCTTTGGCTGGAGCTGGAGAGGAAGTCTGCCGCTTAGTGCTTTTTTTTGTGTTGTTTTTGTCTTTTTTGAGCAAAAGAAAGTGCACGTAATTATATATTAAATTATACAGCAGAGAGCAGAGTAAAATTACAGTTTACTTGTTACAACAAAACAGTTAATTCTTGCGGACCACAGACGCCGACACAGACACACACACACGAATACACCGGGAGGACGGGACACAGTTATGTGAACGAAATGCCTTTTCTCTTCAGTGCACTTTGGCTTTTTGGGGAGAAGCGCGCCCGACGAATTCGCTAAAACGACTGATATCGTTGATATGGACAGGCCTCCGAGTAAGTAGCTCGACAGAATTGTGCGCCAGCAACGACGACGACGACGTTGGCAGCGGTAGAGGCAGAGGCAGAGGCAGCGACAGCGACCTGGCATTCTCTGGTGCCAGCGCGGGAAATGTACGAAATGTTCCGAAGCTCTGGTTTGTTGTTTTTTTCGTTTAGCTGTTTACTATTTTGCACGGTTTATGCTTAATCTTTGAGCGCCCATTAAATTCAATAAGCAGCTGCGCTCCGTCTGCGCTCCAAGCGAATCTTTTGACGTCACAGCAGACCTTTGGGCTGGGGTAGAAAGCCGACTCCTTGCTATGGAATTTCATCACGTCACAGTCAAAAATATACAGACACACGCCCCATATTGTAAGCTTAAAGGTGTAGGAGTAAGAGGGATGCTGCTGAGTCAGATTTTTGCTCTGCTCTGCGCCTGTATTGTCCTTGGCAGAGGACGCTTGCCACGCTCGGTCGCATTTCGTTAGGGCTTACGCAAGAAACGTAAGCTTTGTAGGTACGTGCTTGGAGGATTTAAGGATTTGAGGTTGATTTCAACAATGCTTTGTTTGATTACCCATTAATTTCGTATGTCACGCCTCCACCCAGAATAACCAGAATTATTTGCAGCATTTGATTTGGTTTAGCATAAAATGTATTTGGTTCCATTCTCCTTTTTAAACATAAACATCATTGCACGTAATCTGCACCAATATTCTGCCGATGCCTCTGAGCTTATTTAAAATATTGATTTATGTATATAGATATATTCTGTATATGATAGATTCAATTACCATAGATGTGTGTATATATTTATTCTGTTAAATAATTGAAACGGTAGTTAGTTTGTTGTGGTGTCATGTCTTCCTTTAGATAAATCCTTAGCTTCGAGTACTGGTCTCTCATTGAGTTGTGATTGCATCGCATAGTCTCTACATCTCCATACATCTCTTTGGTTAACTTGTCTTGACTTTTGCTCCTTAAACACTACGCATTATGATAATATATATTTGTAGCATAATTAAAGCATTTAATTGTTCATCTCTATATTCGCCATAAATCCACAGAAAAGGTTTCTTTTTAGCTGCACCTTATTCCACTTCGGTTTCTATAGTTTCACAATTGAAACCACAAAACTTCCACCGCTTTTCCGACTGTTCAGACTTGAAGAGATTTGTGTACTTTTTGAGTATGCTGGCAAGATCATCGTGGCTTCTGGTTCCTGAACTTCTGTCGAGCATTTTGTCGAGGTAGCTGGCAATGCTGGCTAACTCCACGCCGCGTGGATGCAGAACCAAATAGGCCGAGGTCAAAGCTATAACCTTGGCCTCTGCCAGGGCTAGGGACTTGAAGTTTTGCTGAAATTGTAATGTGGATTAGAACAACCAGCGATCAGGGAAACTTTCCCTTTACTCACCTCTTGAGTGGTCGAGATTGGAGGATTCTCTGTGCTGACTTCGAGGCTGTTTGCCTTGGCACTCACTTCGGTAATTGACTCTTTAGGTTTGTTGGCTGCAGACTCCTGCCGCTCATCGTCCTCAATCTCATGAATCTCCACTACACCGCTCTTGTGCTCAATAATGCGCACATCATCGTCCACCTTATCAATATCAATTATTTCCAGCTCCGCCATGTGTCGTGCTGGTGGCAGCCTCAATTCAGATGCCTCTTCCTGGCTGCACGAGTCGCCGCTGCTGTAATCCACATTCGAAGCGGTGGCGCTGAGACTCGCTTCTTTGTCTTTTAGCTTGTCTGCTGTCTCCTTGATCTTGGTCTTGAGCAGCAGCTGCTTCACGCCGGCGTCCTTGAGGTTGCGTTCAAGTTGCTCAATGTGCTTGGTATCCTTCTGCTCGCGCAGCTTGGTCTGTAGCAGTTGGGTCTGCATGTTGCGTATGGTCTCCTGCAGAACTTTGATTTGCTTCTCGCGTTGCACATAATCGCTGCGCTCCAGCGATATTTCATGGCGTATGGCCTCCAGTTGGCAGCGCAGCGAATCGTTTTCATCCTAGAAGAAGAAACAAAAATTAGTGTCTATCGAGGACATTGTAAGAGACTTATTACCTTGAGACTATCGCTATCATAGCGTGTTCGCTTGCCGCCCACTCGCCTTTCGTAGTCGCGCTCATCGTCAGATATTTCCATCTCATCATCATCATTGATTCTGACCGAGTGCAGTTCCTGCATGGCATATGGTAAGAGAAACTTTAATTAGTTTTCCCTTTCTATGCAAAACAGTAGCATTTCTTCTGTCGTATTCGTAATCGTAATCGTATTCATTGCTTACAAAAGTAAAATTCACTATAAACCTAGCTATAAAATTTGAGTATAAGGAATGTTTCAAATTTCTTTGTTTTCCTCGTTGCACGAGGACTCCGCTTACTTACCTCGCCATTATTATTATATATTTTACAAATGTTTATTTGCTTTCTTTCATTATGGTTTCAATTAATTAATAATTTGCATCAATGATTCTGATTTGTTTTAGTTCTTCCGCTTACGATTTACCAAACCAATTTAATTAAATTCAGTGAGTGGCCAGCAAATTTTCAAATTTTTATCTGGGTTCTCCCTTTTTTTGTTCCAAAAATTTTCCAATTTGTGGACATTCGTCTAAAATTTTACGTTTAGTTAAAAGTAATGAAAGCTTTTTATGCAAATGCTTAGTTAGAAGAGGGTATAGAAAATCCATTAAAATGAAAGTTATACCAAAAAGCTAAGAAGAAAGATATAGAGTCTAAAGCATTACAGATGAAGGATATACGACACGGATATTTCGATTTCTAAGCAGTAATTTACACATGTATGAAAGAACCTGATTGATTAGGGTGATCAATGGTGGGCAAACTGTTTGAAAATTAAAAGAAAATTACCAGTCAGAGAGCATAAGAAAGTGTAATGAGTATTAAATAAGCTAGATCGAAAAAAGTATCTCTTCAAACATTTCCGCCCACTAACAGATGTTCTTAAATGTATGGTAACGCTGTCAAAGCTTCAATTATTTCTCATAATGATACTACGAGTAAAATTTAAATGTAAATTAATTCTACACTTGATATATAACACTTAGAGCTCGATATGTTTGGTTAACAGATGTGAGAGGCGAACAAACAAATGAAGTAGTAACATGTTGTGCAAATAACAACAAAATTAACAATTATTAAACAACAATTAGCAGCTGAAAGCATCTGGGATGGCATCAAGGAGGGTAGGGGATGGGTAGAAGTGATATCAATGGGCGACATGCAAAAATTGATAGGGGTACGGCACTGATAACACACAAAACATTGAACAAATGATACAAATATGATATGACTACAATTTTATGACTAGAACAACAGCAACGAGTACAACAAGAGCAACGGAAGGAGCAATACATAGTAGTAGTACATAGTTGTAGGCGATTATTGGTCAGTAAATGGACATTGAGAGGAATATTGTTGGGGGTTTTTATACACAACATTTGTCGTACCATCTTTGAGGCTGTGTTTGTGTGTGTCGTAATTGATTATTTGAACATTTTAGTACGTACCGTGGCTAACTTCTTCCATTGATCGATGTTTTTTCTTTGGGCTTTGGTGAAATGGTCCCAAACCTTCTTGTGACTAGCGGCATTGAACACTTTTTCAATCTGAGTGACTGAACAATAATGCAATAATATATAATAATATTAAGGGAGGACAGAGGGTAGTTTTTTGTTTATAGGTTTTTCTTTTTCTTTTTCTTGCTGTTTTTAGATTGATCACCTTTTCGGAACTAGACTTTTTTGTGTTGTGAATAAAATGAGTGAGAAATGATAAGTAGAAAGAAAACTACTTGAGAGACCCTCGCATAGCATTTTAAAATAAATATGGTATATAGTTATGATTATTTATAGTAGATATGTATATTATTAGGTACAATCTAGAGAGAATACAACAACGTCTTGTTACCTACTCGTATCTTTAGTCTTTGATTTACTTTTGGGCCTGGTCCAAGAAGTCTAAGACTACAAAGGACTTGTGTCCCTTGATTATCGCAATGGATCACACGAATAATGTTCTCTTCTTTGGTTTACAAACCTTTGAGGCCTGCCTTCTGCCATTCTGTGGTTGTCGAGAGAACCCACAAAAGAGAAAATGACTGAGAATTTGGCCGCACAGTGGAACGAAATACGAAATATGACAAGCAAATTAAAGCAAGGAATATTTTAAATAATAATAATACAACATATAGCAACTTTTTAAAATGTTGACTACAAAAATAAAAAAATAATAATTAAAAGCATTTTATTAATAAAATATTTAGAATACTCTTTAAACTGTTTGATCTTTTCTAAACTCAACTCTTATTTTCAATCGCCGGGTTATATGACATGATAAATGGGGTGACTTTTGGATAACTTTATTTTTTAAGGTTTCCAATGGAAAATAATTCATGAAAAATTATAAAAAACAAAACCCTTCTGCAGTAGCTCATACCTCTTGATGCATTGTTCTTTATTCAACACTCTGTTTGCTTTTTCAGTTGACTTTCGGCCCACTGTGCGGCCCTTGATGTTTGTCTCTAGCTTTTGGCTGGGCTTTACCTGATCCATGCTTGGATATTGGGTTTGCTCCCTTCCCTTCCGCTTTTCAGGGAGCTTTGAGATTTTAGACAGTGAGATTTTGTGTGGTAAATCGATGACTAGATTTGCTAGTGTATGAGGTGTACATGTATATGTGTTTCGGTGTGTTTGTGTGGCTGATTGTTCAGATTTACAGACTCTATGGAGGCGGCTAACCCCGGGCGCAACGAAAACAGAAAAAATAGAATAGGTTCAAAACGAGGTAGAAAGGCGGGCGGGCGGGTCGGCACCTAAATTTCCGACTAGACTAAGAGCTAAGAAAGCTTTTGTGGATTGGAGGGGCTTGCTTGTCCCCAGTTTTTGGGGGCTCACTTACATTGGGTGGACATGGTGCCCATCTGCTTGCGATAGCTTTCGCGAGCCTTGCGCAAATCATCCTCCAGCTGCTGCTTGTCCGTGTGCAGATGCCTCACATGGGCGTGCGTGATCTGGATCATTGAGTAGAAGACATTGGCATTCCGCTTGGTGCAATCCCCACGCTCCAGCCAGGCGGTGATCGTCTGTATGGCCTTCACAAAGGTCTCATTGCTGCGCAGCTGCTCGGCGACGGCGGTGGCCTCGTGTTCCGTGTAGTGGGGTATTGGTGGCGGCGATTGGGAACGCATTCGATCCAGCGACATACGTTCGCGGTGACGCTGCTCACGCTGCAGCTGCCGCTGCTTGCATTCGTAGTCATACTGATCGTCCCTCGCCTGCGCATAGTCCACATGCAGGCGTCCAAAGTTCGGGGGCTCGTTCATGGCCGAAATGCGCAGCCGGTAGCCCGAAAGATAGATGGCCCGATCGATGGCCGTCTCGTGGCGGTAGCGTATGTGGCAAAAGTTCTTCTTGGACATGCGCAGCGTGGTTATCTCGCCGCACGATTCGAAGATCTCTCGGATCACATCCTCGGTGACATTCTCTGGCAGTCCGCCAACGAAAACCGTACGACAACCGGGCGGACGTTCCCTTATCGTGGGCGGCGGTGCGTTGGGATTGGGTGGAAACAAAATGCAATTCTTTGTCTTGATCACCTCCTTGAGACCAGCCGCTGCAGAGCCATCTGACACGAAAAGAGATTAATTTAATGGAATATTCACTTGAATGTGCTGCCTTCTCGCTTACCCGCTGCTAGAGCTCCATCCAGTCCAGCAACCCCATCCGTGGGCATTCCCGCCACTGTGGCATAGTGGATTTGCTGCATTTGCTGCATGGCTGCTGCCATCATGGCAGTGGGATCCATCAGCATTTGTGCTGCATTGGCGCTGCTGGTACCTGTCGCTGCTGTTGCCACACCAGTAGTGGGCGTGCCGCCTGTGCCACCGCCCGTGGTCGTCTGTGCAGCAGCCGCCGGGAAGTACAAGTAGCCCGGCGGCGTGTGCATGAGGCCATTCAGATAGAGCTGGGCATCGGGCAGCGACAACGATGTGGCCGTTAGCTTCTCCACCGTTGGCTTGAGGCCTGTTGTTGAGGACACATCTGCGGGATGTCCATCCATCTCGTTTTCGTTCTCCAGATCCATGGGGGCACTGCCCTGTTGTGCCAGCGGCTTTATAATTTTGTTGGGCGTCTGCTTGGCGGCTGTTGCGGTGGCTCCTGCTGCCGCATTGTTGCTGTTAACAGTCGAGGATGTGGCTGCCGTCGAGATGGCGGCGGCCAATTGGTTGAGGAAGTTTGGATGATTTGGCAAACTGACGCCATTCGGCATGGTCCCAAAGAGCGGTACTGCATTAAGGAGCAAGAAAATCAACTATATCAATACAACAATGATACGGGAAAGCCGGTAATAACAATCAGCTGAATGATAGATAACCTTGGAAAGTAGCACAGGTGAGGGGGGAATCTTGCTACAATTCGATTCTTTCGTGTGAGGTGGGGTGGGTGGAATTTATACCAAAATGGCGTAAGCACTGGCCAGACAAATGTGAAATAAAACCATTTTGCCAGCGACCAGCAACACATCCAGACAGTATTTCACTTTTGTACACTTTGTGTGGCAGTTTGCAAGTATTTGCAGCCGAAAAACTGAATACTTACACATATTAAGAGCGAAAAAATGCCTTTTTATGTGTTAAAATTAAATCCGATGACCAGCATAGCCACCGCTGTGTAAACAAACAGCTGTTTGAACCAACTTCAATGATCTGGCAGCATAACAATAAATCGGCGCTGCCACATGTCATGAGAAGTTTACAAATAAAGAAATGTGCAAACACTGTCTATGATTCATCAGCTGTCGATCGGAAAACGAAAATTAAAAACAAAACGCAGCAGGAAAAACTTGCGAAAATTACTAGTGGAACTAATCTAGAAGACTCTGCAGGATGTCGGTAAACACTGCACACGCCAACAATGGTGTGCTCATACACGCTGGCGAGTAGTAAGTAGATAAAACAGAATAATGGCCAACAATGGGACCGGGACTCGCTGACGTCAGAATAATTGTAAACATGACGTGTGGGCGCAGAGCGATGAGAGTCACCAGTTGGTACCGCTATCGATTTGCCTATCTGTTGAATGCTAATATGAGTACACTTGTACCCTCCATCAGCATACTGCTCCATAGCGACAGCGTTTCCATGGACTTTTCGGGCCAGGACGATCACGTGTTTAAGGGCTCGAAGGCGGGACGCATCTACTTGACATCGCATCGCATGATTTTCAACAGCAAGAAGCCTGCGGACACCATGCAGTCCTTTAGTGCCCCATTTGTGGCACTGTCCGATGTGGAAATTGAGCAGCCCGTCTTTGGGGCCAACTACATCAAGGGCAAGGTGCGCGCCCAGCCCAATGGCAACTATGTGGGCGAGGTCAAGTTCAAGCTGCACTTCAAGGCCGGCGGTGCCATTGAGTATGGCCAGGCGCTGTTGCGTTCGGCCAAGACAGCCATGAACAACTACCATCGCGGGGGCATGGCTGGCGATGATCCACCGCCATATCAACCGGCTGGCAACTGGAATGAGGCTCCGCCACCGGCTTACCAGCCGCCACCGGGCTACTATGGATGGTTGCCGCAGCACGATGCCTTCAGTGGCCCAGCACCGAATACGGTATTCATGAGCGACAATCCGCCGCCTTATCCAGGCATTAGTAAGTACCCAGAAAGGCAGTGTCCACCCATCCACCACTCGGCTTTTGTTTTGGCATAGCTGCTGCGATGCTTAACCCCTGTAAATTGGCAACGATGCACTTGAAAATTCTAGCACCGCAAACGCTTTGTCTAACCCCACACCTCGGTGCACTTTGCATTTCTATCTGTCTCTCCATAGCACCGCCAAGAAATCAGCCAGCAGCACCACAACAGCCTCAGCCGTCATCGAATGAACCGAATTGGTATGGTTTTTCAGCCCCACCGCAGCAGCAGCCGCAGCAACAGCCGCAGCAGCCACAGCAGCAGGGATGGGCTGGCGGCTATGTCCAGCCACCGCCTTATGCCGCCTGTGCGCCCGGTGCTCCTCCCTATGCGGTGCCGGCTCAGACCTACAATGGTCCGACCCCATATGGTGGCTACAACGGGTATAACCATGTGCCAGGTGGCTTCATGCAGCCCCAGCAGCAGTCGAACGGTTATCCAGCTCCAGGAGGCCCTCCTCCTGCCCAACAGCAGCCTCCACAGCAAGCAGGAGCTGCTGCTGGTGCAGCCGGAGCCAGTTTTATGGGCTTCAGTCTGCCGCCAGGAAGTGAGTATTGGAAATCCTTGAGAACCATTCGCATAATCATCATTTATTCACGCATAAAACTTTTAGCTGCAAGTAAAAAATGCTAAAAATCAAGTAAAGTTCAAGATAATTAGAAGGGGAAGAGTAACCACATTTCGGGGCTTCCTCAGCCTTTCCCAATTTCATTTCTGACTCAAATTATAATTTTACAAAATTAAGGAATCAACGAAAAAACTAAAACTAATTTCTAAATTATTTGAATAATTTTATTCCACTCACAAAATATTATTTCCCAAGCCTAATCCTCCATCATTACGAGATCTAACAAAAAGCGAAATTCAGTGAAGCGAAAGCAAGTCGCAAAACGAATCACATTTCTTTTGAACTTATTTTACAGTGTAATAAAAAGCAACCTTCTACCAACAAAAGCAAACATCCCCCCAACAAGTAAGATTTATATTTTGATGTGCGTTCCACCCACAAACAACTAACAAAAGCCGAGTCTCCAAATTAGAATAGTTTAACGCCTTTTGTTTGAGTGCCTGTTTAATGGTTTTCTTCTTTAACTCTTTGTTTTTTTTGTACCTCCCACAAATGCGAACCTCAGTAGCAAGATTTGGCAGCACTCATCATTATTTTTATCCAATCCAAAGGCCATTGTGCATTGTACTCGTCCCTGGTTTAATCCAATAAGCACACAAAAACTGTAAGAGATTTAACCGTCGTCTGTGTGCCGCTGAAAAATACATACCTAGGAGAGGAAATAAATTTCGATTTTCTTTGTTTTTGCCATACATACAGATTCCAAAGAAGCCGAAGCTGCTGCAAGTGCTTATAATACACCCTATAACCAAGGTGGTCCTGGTTCATCTGGATCCAGCGAAATGCCTCCCTCATATAATGTATTTATACACAATATTTCTTTGCTTATTCTTTGATAATTACTATACTGTTTGTCGATTCCCTTTCGTAGAACTTGCCCCCCAGCTATGATGATGCAGCAAGGAAGCACCAATAAAATCTGCTCTATGTTTTACTCCTGCTAAAATGTGTAATCACAATGGATATGTTATCACTTGAAGCATTCAATTAGGCTCATTCCTGAGTATATTCATCAGCAATTATGTATATAATATTAAGCCGAGCATTAATCTATTCATTGTAAGCCGTTCTCAAACGCTAAAAATTCCTTATACAGTTTTGCAAGCTGTTTGCTGGTCACAAAACTGTTGTTTATTTTTTTATGTTTTTTTTTTAAATTGGTTTGTTTTTGTATACTCCAAGAAGTAGTTGTTATTATATATTGAAAATATATTATAAATTAATATGCATTTGCGGTGGATTGAACTCGTCTGAGATAGCTGTTTAGATGCTGTTCTTTGCTGCATTCAGGTTTGAACTTCCCTGGACTAGCACCTATTTGTCCGCCTAATCAGACGGAATAATGCGAGTTCAGATTTGTGTTTATATTATTCATAAATGCCTCTTATTCTATCAAAGGCTTGCAGCTCTTTAGGGGCAAAATTTGTCATGCTAAAGTTGGAAATTAATATTTTCATTTCTCAATTTAAAGTTACGAAGCCTCAGGAAGGATTTATTTATGGAAGTCACACAAAGACTGACTGTTTACCCTCGGAGATCATGGGCGTGGTTCTATCTATTTAAATCAAATTCTAAAATTATACAAGAAATTTAAAAAACATTAATTCCACCCAGTAGTCGGATCTAGACCATTTTTAGTGGCCAACTTGGTCATACTGCAGGCGCCACTGAAAGCGGTTCAAATGAGTGGGAAAAAAACAGTTTCGATGTGCCGACAGAGCCAACAACAGGCTGATTTTGGCCCATTAACCGATACGTGGGTGTGTGGTGTTGAACAGAGTTGAGCAAAATCAATCGTATGACACATGCGCAGTGGCGGGCGTGGTGAGAAAAATGCCAGGACATGCCAGGCATAGCCAAAATATGGCCAGCAGTTGCTGTTGTCCGCATGCAAAAATGTTTAATTAAATGGCAAAAAGTTTATTTTAAAGTTCGTTCACAAAGCCAAACCCAAGTGAAGTTTTGCCGTTGAATAATCGACACGAAAGTGGAAAGCCGCGGGGCAGTGCGTAGTCTTTGGGGTCGTTCCACAAATATGCCACCAAGTGCGGCAGCTTGTGCCTGTTGTCTATCGATTTGTGTGTAACTCTTTCCCACGAAGCTGCTGCTGCTGCTGCTGCTGCTGCAAATGCAAATAATGCAAACGCCCCCAACACTGAGAGACGATTAATTGCAGCAGCAAAAACAGGCAAACGGAAATCGCAGCAATAAACAACAAGAAGCCCAAGGAGCCAGCATGGATGTGGGTGGACAGGACACTACCTATGAGCCGCTGGACCGAGACAGGGCTGGCAGTATCCCGGCCGGCGAGGGCGGACGCCGACATCCTGGCAGCATGGACAGTCCTGAGTATGAGACGCGTGCACCCAAGGATCAGCGTCGCGCGGTATATCTGGCCCTAATGGCAGCGGGCATTGGCTTTGTTTTGCCCTACAATAGGTAAGCGAAGGAGCCAAAAATGTATTTGAATATCGTTTCGCTTATTTTAAACCCTTTGCAGTTTTATTATCGCCGCGGACTATTGGCAGGGACGCTTTCCCGGCCGACACGTGGCCCTGGACATGTCCATGACGTACATCTTTGTCGCCTTTGCCACGGTCTTGCTGAACAACATTGTCCTCTCGCTGGCCCCCTTCCAGAAGCGGGTTATTTTCGGCTACATGGTGTCCTTTACCACGCTCGTGTTTGTGGCCGTGTGCGAGGTGGCCTGGCATATGTTTGCTACGAACACCGCCTATTTGGTCAACATGTCCGCTGTGGCGCTGACAGCCATCGGCTGCACCGTGCAGCAGTCGAGCTTTTATGGTTTCGCTTCTATGCTGCCGCAGCAGTATACGCAGGCTGTGATGGCGGGCGAGAGCATTGCCGGATTTCTAGTGTCTTCCAATCGAGTGGTGACCAAACTGCTGATCAACAACGATCGCGTGTCCACAGTCATCTTCTTTCTGACATCAACGCTGTACATAATCTTCAGCTATCTGCTGCATCGGGCCACCATCAATTCGCCGTTTGTGCGTTACCATGTGGAGGCCTGCTCCAAGATTATTCTGCGACCAGATGAGGTGAGCCAAAGAACCCAAGACTTAACTCTTTTCTTATTCATTCTCTCACTCCCAAACAGCAGGAGATTGACGGTGTCCCAAGCACCACCCATTACGGAGTGCTCTCCATGGATGGCACACACACAACCACGACCATATCGGGTGGACATGCCGCTGCCGCAAATGCGCTCAGCTTCAGCAATCCCGTCTACGAGCTGTCCAATCCCACGGCCGGCGAGAGCAGCATCGAGGCACTGGGCCAGCTGCCGTCGGATCTGCCGTCGACTCCCCATGAGCCAACAACGCCCACAACTGTGGCCTTCAAGGTGGAGCACGTGATCCAGCCACGTCGTTGCAGGCCGAGTAAACTGAGTGACATACGTGAGGGATTTGTGAGCAGGTGGCGCGTGGCACAGGTCATCTATCCGTACATGGTGTGCATTGCCCTGGCCTACTGCGTGACCCTGTCCCTGTATCCGGGCATCGATGTGGAGGTGCAGTCATGTGCCCTCGGCTCCTGGATGCCCGTCCTGCTGATGTTCTGCTTCAATCTGTCGGATGTGGCGGGCAAGATGCTCGCAGCCAGTCCGTATCCTTGGTCCCGCCGTCAGCTGATACTGTTGTCGGGACTGCGAATCGTGCTCGTGCCCCTGCTGCTGCTCTGCTGTGCGCCGCGTCAGCGTCCCGTCATATCCGGAGAGACAGCGCCCTTCGTCTTCACCATAGCCCTAGGCATCACCAATGGATTGGCCGGCAGTCTGCCCATGATCCTGGCACCGGCCAAAGTACCGGGCACCCTCAAAGAGGTCACGGGCAACATAATGACGCTGTCCTACAATGTGGGCCTGACTGTTGGCTCCCTGATTGGCTACGTGTTTGAGAGCATGCTGGGGCCGCAGCTTTTGAATCCCTGCCCCTCGTATCCGTATGTGCCCGTGTCGATGCTGGAACACATTCACGGCCATGGCCACGGCCATATGCCACCCCTACCGCTGACCAGCAGCACCACCATCCCTCCCACAACCAGCACAAGCCCAGCCACGTCTCTGGTTCCGTTTCTGCTGAATGCAACGATTGCGACCCTCACTGGAGGCAGCAGCAGCAGCAGCAGCAGCGTCAGTCCGCTAACCGAGAGCACAAGCTCGTTGAGCACCACAGCCAGTCCGGCCTTGGCCACGGTCATAACCACCACAGCCCTGGCTCTGTACAGCACCGTGGCGGGGAGTAGTGCTGAGGTCCTCAATGCCACCATGTCCTCGTTTCTGTCAACGGTCAGCAGTTCGGTGGGTGACATCAGTGATGAGATGGCTGGGGGTATGACCACAGATCCACAGACACCAGAGGCTTTGCTAGAGAATATTTGAAGAAACAAAAGAAACTCCATTGACTTGTTACTTGAGCTCTACTGAATGTCATCCCTCTCTACCTTACCATATCCCGTTTTCAACTTATTTCTGGCCAATTTTGTTGTGAAACTTGCCATAAAATAATACCCGCTGATACAGAAAACATTTCCCTTTTTTTAACCATACGCAGGGATGTTTTCAATTTATCGTAGGAAGGGTGAATAACACATACTAAGTGCTTCTAAATATGTAAAGATATTTAGCCGAAACCTTTTTTGAAATTTTCAATAATCTGCCACAAACAAATTGCTTCGACTTTGCCCACAAAAATATCTTTCAGCTCAAACAAAAAGTTATTGCAGAAATATTCTAGAATATACTCGTAAAATGGAAATAGCATAATCTTGTCTGTACTAACACCATGTATATCTACTATAACTGAAAATTGTCTAGTATAACTTTGTCTAGTGGTTGATTTTAGCTGTTCTTGGCTTGAGGATTTATAACACTCCGCATAGATATAAAAGTAAAAGAAAATCTGTTGACTTAGATCTACACATATGAATAAGTGTGTGTGCTTGTGTGTGATCAATTACTGCTATTAGAAATCGTTAACGTTTGATTTTCGTTTAGTTTGTTTTGCCACCACACAGCAGAGTCCGTTCCAAATGATGTTTGTTAGTACTTGTATAGCACATAACAATATATATGTTTATAGTTGGTTGGGATCTTGGGATCTCAGGATGTTGTTTAGCAATGTAAGCATTCAAGTGTGGTGCGGCTTTCTCCTTTCGTTTCGTTTTCGTTTTTCGTTTCGTTTCTTATTTGTGCTAGCTGCAATTTTGGTCGACTTCAGCCGAATAGTTGTTAGTTTTTTGTATGAAAAGCCAGGAAACGTATGAGAAAATGTTAACATAGAAATATTTCAATATTATGGCTAGGGGGGAATATGCAAATTCCCTTTATGAAAATATGGAAATATTTATTAAGACGCTGGGATCACAGGGCTGTGAGCAGTGCGGGATAGCAGACTCTTCAGATCATGTGGGTATTAGTGTAACTAGATAACAAATCAATAATTTCTTGTTTATAACCAACATGCAAACGAGGAAACTAACAATAATTAAGAAATTAGCCTTCAATGAAATAAAATAAATATATAAACGGGATACAAATTTTTCTTTATTCAATTAAATTTGTAAACTCTTCCAACAAATGATTCGCATGCCTGCCTGTCCAAAGGGGCTAAAAGGCGAATGGGATTTCTTAACAGCTTTATGGCTGCCCGCAGCACTCTGTAGGGCATATCATATTATGGCGCATAGGGGTTTATAAATATAGCGGATAATATATTTGTGTCTGGAATTGGATGTTTCATAAATACGAAAATAAAAATGTGTATGGTTGAAACATTATTGATACTTTTTCCATACAAAGAAGTTTATATAATACAATTGAGAATTCCCTACAGAGCAGTAGAGATGCGGATAGCCATAAAAGACTATGCCATAATATTTCTCGTAAGTAACTAGAAAAGTTTAAATGATTTACTGGAGCACTACTCATTCAGTTTAGCCACTCTATCTTCTAGATCCTTCAAAAGATCATCTCTCTCTTGAATCTTGCACGAATCTAAAATGTTTCCCAATTCCAAGAGGGCTATTTGGTCATCTCTCTCCTTCAGCTGTGCCTTAAATGAATCCAACAGTTTTTCATTTTCCTCCTCTTTGGCCACATATGATTGAAGTTTCAGTTTAATGTCACTCGTCTCCTCTTTCATTGCTTTAAGATCAACAATCTGCTCGATGGCGTTTTTTTTGTGTTGAGCCATCAAAGATTTATTTGATTGGCAAATCACTTGCAGCTTGGCCAACTTCATCTCAAATTTTTTATTGTTGCACTTTGTTTCCTTTTCCAAAATAGACAATTTCTCCTCCAGATTTTGTATGAGGGCTGCTTGCTCTTTATACTCATTTGGAGGAGTTTCGTCCCTTTTGGCATTTGCTTGAATGTCTGTCTGCAAATATATTTGCTCTTCTGCTATTTTCTGCTTAAGCCAATGTCTCTCCTTAAATGATTCTGCCGATAGGTGTTCCGCTTCCGGTTCCAGCTTGGCCAACTTCTCCTCGAAATGGATGATGTCGAATTGCCGTTTCCTGATTTTCATTTTCAGATTAGCAAATTGTTCCTCTTGAGCCTGATTGCAGATCATTTCTGTGTTCTTTACTGAATCTTCTTCATTCAGACTCTCTGTGCTCGAGTGGATATTTGTTTCAAAAGATGATTTCAAATCGTTGATATTTTGTTGGATCTGATCAATGCCAGCCAACAGACCATCTAAACATTTCAGACTAAAACTTAAATCATTTTGCCTAGCACGTCGCTGAAAATCCACTCTCACTTCACATAGCTGGCCTTCCAGCTTACGAAGTCTGTTTTCTATTATTCGCGAAAAATCCATTTGATCCAACAGAATAAATGTGTGTATGCACAGATATTAATCTTAGTAACTTCAGAGTGCAGTTGTATGTTCTTTTAATGTTTCGATCGTGCTGGGCCCCAGACAAACACTAGACTGAATAAAGTAAAATGATTTCATTGAGCTTTACAGCTATTCCATGGAATTTGATAGGAATATCTTATCAGCCTGCAATTGATGTGCAATAAACTTTCACGTCTATCAGTGACGTGAACAGAAAGTTTCACCGATACTGATACTGTTATAGCTTAACATGCTTATCACTTCTGCTCAAGAACAAATTTCGATTAAAGACAATACAAGGATCATGTGTAACCCAGAAAAAAAAACCATCTGTTAAAGATACGCTGTATCGGGTGGGACTTAACAGTTCTTAATTTATAGTATATTTATATTTATATTTATAGTTGGTGAAATTCCTTTTCTGTTGGCAAATGTTTTTCCCCCAAGAATGTTAAAGCTTGGTACATTGACTAACAGAGTTTTTCTCTGATTTATTTTATAAAAATAGAAATTAGTACACAATTTCAGAACGAATCAGAAGTTGTTCATTTTTCTACGCCACTTTCTGTCATATGTCGTTGTTCCTATCTACTTGTTTCTTCCTTCAGCTGTGAATCTTTCTTTGGCTTTTTCAGTCTTTCCATATCTTGCTTAATGCTACTAACTATGAAGTTGCATTGCTTGATTTCATCCCATAAATACCAAGCTCCTCCGATTAAAGAGTTGAATAAAAAATGCCATTTGCAACTTCCAATTCTTTTCAAGCTCAGCAATTTTCTCATCAATTTGCTCAGATGTCTCCATGCTAATATCAAGATTATCGGAGTGTTTTTTCTGTAGACTTCTGTCTGAATGCTTCGACCTTTTTGTGTGGCAGAAAAGAGTGCACTAAACATAAGAAATTGTTTGAGCTGCTCACCTAGTCATTTCAAGGAATGTCTCATTCAGTGTTATGAGTCTGCGGTGTGCATGCCACAAGGTTATCCGTTGAGGAGTGATGTGAACAAGGAGTTGCACCCACACCGATACGCTTAGTTATATCTACTCAAGAGATTTGTCATCCACTGTATGCAGTGGATTTTATATCTATAAATATGAGGGGTGCTAGAAAAAGTCCTATCTGTTAAGCTTTTGTGGTAATATTTCCTCGAAGGATGTCTTAACATGCACCTGTTAAATGAAAATGCTGGCTAACAGATTCATACAAATTTAAATATACAATTTATAATTAAATAAATATAATGAATATTATATGATCTCTGATCGCTTTATATTGTAGTTTCTGGACTTGTGACTCACCAAAAATCAGCTTATAATTATTCCTTCATAAAATAAAGGCGCGAGCATTCAAAAAATTGCCACAAACAGCTCCCGCTATTTTATAATTTCCCTTGTTTGATGCAACATTTCCCCTGCAACTAGAACATTTCCCCTGCAACTGTGTTCGAGCTGAGAGACTTTTTGTTCAAACTCAAACATGTTGGCACCTCTGACTAATATGGTTATTAAAACTTATATTTTTTTGCCATTTATTTAAACTATTTACATATATAAAAATACTGTACATACATATATCCCTGTGGTTAATGTTACTTTTCAGACACTACCGATTTAAAGCGTAACCAAAAATCGATAAACAGTAACGATTTTTGAAAACTTCGTTGGCCAACATTCCTTAGTAGTTAAAAGCGCTAAATATATGGCTTCCAGAAGTTTTTTCACACGCACCCTGAGCCAGACAACACAAGATATTTCAGTATACAAACGTACATAGGTGTGTGTCTATAAATACATATGTACATATTTAATATATATTTATATACAGTAGACCCGACACATTCATTTATATACGAAGCCTCACGTGTCGTGTCGTCGCTATCCTGAACAAAAAGATTGACAACGAAAAAAAAAAGTAAGTGAAAGTGGGGAGAAAAAACTGCTGCTTGGCATCTTTTTACGCTTTTCGGCTGTTGATTTTTCCTACTTTAACGTTTACCGTCGTCCCACGTCCTTGGAGCGCCTTCGCATTCTCCCCATGGAATTATGGAAACGTTGCCGTTGCCCAGTGCTAGGGCCTCCATCTACTGCTTTTATCATTCGGTGCAAATAGAAAGGCATTTTGCCCGTTGTCTCTCTCTCTCTCTCTCTGTCTCTCTCTGTCTCTTTGCATTTTTATCTTTTGTTTTTTAACGCCTTGGCGGCGGTTTTTCCTTCGCCTTTCTTTCAGCTAAATGTGTTGCTCGCCTTATTTTCGGTCTGTTCCGGTTCTTGGGTCTGATTAAAAGATAAGTTTTCGAGTATTATTATGTTTTCATTTACGAGTAGAGCCCACAGGCTGATGGGTAGGATTCCAGTTGGTATTCAGTTTCCAATTATATTTCAAATTTGCCTTCACTCTTGACTAAAGCCAAAATTGATTAATTACCAAATAGATTACACAAATACACTCTTCATACATATATAATAATAAGTTAAGGGCCCTCCCACTCAGGTGTATGTATTCATAAAACCATCATCCCAGCCCTACACTTAACCCGTACCCTGATGCAATTATTCAATTATCCATTTTTGTAATCAATTCAATTGAAGCTGAAAACGACGGTTTTTTTGCTGCTGACGTTTTTTCCATCGAGCCACTCTCAATTACTGGATTATTGATGCATATTAATAGCTTTTTGTTCCACAACACAACAACCTTATAATAACAAATTCTACTACAAAAAATATGTGTTCGCTCGTTAGAGTGGAATAGTCGTGGGCATTCTATGGACTATGGGATACCACTTCCCCTGACTCAGTGACCCAGTGTGGTATTATAGAAGAATCTAGTTGTTCCTACGCTCAATGGCAGATAAATTCTGAAGACTTTTGCTTGCTTGGCAACGCTTCCTTCTGCTGATAGCATAAATCACAAATATACCCTTGAGACTGCCAAGATATCAGTTATTGAAAGAAAACAAAAAAAAAACAGTCAACAAACAGGCAAAAGGTGCCTGTGGACAAGTGGATGGATAGCTTTTCGCTAGCAGCTTATTCATTATAATACGTATCGGAGGGACAAATGTTCTCCCCTTGTCAAGTCTTTGTACCTTTTCGCCTTGGCCTCTCGCTTTTACCCGGTAATTAACACTTTGTCAAGCTCATAAATCTTTAAACATTGATTTTTAATGGTTGGCATTTTAACGCTTCGCCGAGCAGTGGCTGAGGCTACGGCTGCCTACAGCTACAGCTCTTGCCGACACGTGCGAGAGCTGACGTCCCATTGGGATTGGGAGCAACCTCCAGGTGAGTGGTTCCCTGGAGAAAATTAATAGACATTGGCCTTGCCAGCGACACGAATTTTCGGTGTATTTATTTATCTCTCTCTAGTGGAATAATTACCACAAAAAAACCACACTGCACAACCAAGTCAAATGTCAGGGGAAAGCTAAAGTAGTTTGATTTGTGGGAAGGAAGTTTTAGATAAAGTTTTCCGCGAAAACGTTGACTGATGGACGATACAAACAGGATCACGTTGTGTCCCCATTCGACACCAGGACAAACCATAACACCCATGTCAGTGGGATAACCCACAAAATTTCAGTCTTTTGAAGCCTTGCTTATAAAATATGTATATGTATTACAGTTCAGTTGTTCTTGGCATTGGGGGGTGTCCGTGTGTGTGTGTTTGTGTTTGTGCGTCAACGAATTATGTCCCCCAGATGTCAGTGGAATACAAGCGAGAAACATGACAGTTCCGCCTCCGCCACAAGTAACAGCAACAGCAACAGCAACAGCCATAGCCACAGCCAAAGCAAACTGACAAGGACAACCGACAGTTTGTGATGCACTGGGAGCAACTATCCGTTCCATAAGTATTCATGCATTTATCCAACATGTTCCGCCTTTCTTTTCCTCCTTCTCTTTGTGCAGCGCATGGAGAACCTCATGTGTGAGAGAGTGTCCTTTCTTTACTTTTCTTTTATAAATCTCTGCTCCCTCCTCTCTCTCGCTGTCTCTCTGGTAAGGGGGGGCCGTGGTAAGGAGCGGAAAATGTGTTCCATTTGTCAACAGCAGAGGGAGGAACAGGACTGGCGCTGGACGTGGCAGACAAAAGGCCAAAGGAAAAGCGGAAAAAAAAACTGAGGCTTCTGTGGCGGCGGCTGGTACTGTGCGGATTCTGATTTTGATTCGGATTCTGGTACATCAGCAGCTTTATTATTATGCAAATACAAACCAAAAATATGAATTATGTTAATGCCATGTGTACACACACACCCACAAACGACAGAGAGACCCAAGCCCGCACAAAGAGCCCGCAGTGAGGATAAAATGTCCAAGTGCAGCATTTAAAGTGCATTAAAATAGGGTGAGGAATTCGCAGAGAGAGAGAGAGAGAGAGAGAGCTCTTAAGATATTCTCATGCTTTATATCATTACCGCAACGAACGAAGAAGAATGGCTAAAGAAATGAAAAGGCTGCACCTTATTCTTGATGCACTTTGGGTGCAGCTTTCGTGCAAAGCCGACGACAAGTGCTCTCAGCTCTAAGACTGCCGTTCCTCTGCTCTGCCTCGTTTCACTGCAGCCACTCCTCTCTGTCGCACTCTCAAAATCCTTGGCTTGTGGGTAAGCTTTGTGTGTACCCTTGAAGGGAGGAGCAACATAATAATGTTGGCCAGTTTGGGCTGAATTACTGCACAGATCTACAATTTCCAGCTACCAAGCAGTGTATTTGCCGTCTGTGGATCTGCCATTTCATCGATGGCTTCGAAGCCCAAAGCCTTCGATACTTGTCCTCATTGTTGTTGTTCTGCCTTAACCGTTTTGTGGAATATGTTGGCAAGAAGAGCTCTGAGCAGCTTACATGGGATGCAAACCGATGGGATTGGCTGCTAAACAATGCCCCAGAGGGAGGGAAAAAGAAGCTTAGCCCTGAGCTGTAGGCCAAAAAGCGGCTTTGCACAGACTCTTCCTTCCATTACCATATTCAATGCTTTGGTTAAATCAAAATTATTTGCATACGCAAGTTAGATTTACATTTTCCTCTTCATTTCCATTACATTAATTACACAATTAGAGTAATAAGCCTTTTA